TTCTGCACACAAATCTCCAGTCTTATCTTCTACTTTTAATTTCTATAATTAATCTACGGCTCCCCCACCCCCTTTTTTGAATTTGTTCAGACTGTGCAAATAATGTTATGGCTTTTATATATATATATATATATATATATATATATATATATATATATATATATATATATATATATATATATATGTCGTCCCCTTGTCGGATGCAATTTCTTTTTTTATTTTGAAGCCCCACTTCGGCTTGTGCCGGGAACACAATATAGCCTTGTCATAAATATGGCCTATGAAAGATGAGGTCAACAAGCAGACAGTGGCTTTCAAGGTAATTGCGAAGGAAGCTAAGACAGCGAAATGGAACGAATTCTGCAAGAGCGTTTGCTCCGAGGGATCTCTTGTGACATTCTGGCGCCTTCAACGGAGCATGCACGGCGCCGCACGACCTAGGGGTATCCCTGATTTTCAGGGTACAGACCTGATATGGCAGAGAACTGATGCTGATAAAGGAAAAACCCTTCTGGCGCGCTACTTGGAGCAAACTGACCAAAAAAGACGAAGCTACAAGAATGGGGGTTAAGATGAAACTGTCGATGCTGTGCGAGAACACTGTGTTAGGCACTGATCTCACAATCACTGCAGATACCTTAAGAACTTGCCTCAAGAAATCGCGCAGCACTGCTCCAGGCCCTGACGGCATCCGATACAACGACATGCTGATGATGTCGAATGCTGACTTGAAAAGCGTGGCAAAGGAATTCAATATCAGCATCCAGAGTGGCCAGATACAAGAGGAATGGCTCCATAGTTATTTGTTCCCACTACCAAAGCCTAATAAAGACCACTCGAAGATCTGCGGCTACAGAATCATCTCGATGCAGAATACTGTTGGCAAACTTTTGGAAAAAATTGTCGCACAAAGATTGACCACCTACTTGGAACTACATGATAAGTTCCCACCAACACTTGGAGTATACAGGTTAAATAAAGAGACATGGTTCAATGCTGCAGTTTTCGCCTACGATGTGTACGAGGGATTTCAGATTAAAGAAGAGACATGTGCGGCAGTGTTGGACTTAGAAGATGCCTACAATAAAGTACTATACGATTATTTAATGCAATTACTGCTTAAACTAGAAGTTAATCCTATTCTGATCCGCTGGATTGCTGCGGTCCTGTTCCAGAGAAAGATTGTACTAAGATGTGGTAGCTGGTCCTCCGAGCCGCAAACGATATGTCCAGGCTTGCCACAGGGATCACCGCTATCACCAGTCTTTTTCAACGTTTACACGGTGATGATCACTGAGCAGCAGTTGAATGGAAAGGGAAGGACTTTGTCATTTGCTGATGACATTTTGATTTATCGACGAGGGCGTGATAGACAGGAGATCGCCAGCACTATGCATAAAGAACTCGATCGAATTGCCGCCTGGTGTGATGGTTCCAATGCCTATGTCAATCCTTCGAAGGCATCAGTATCATGGTTCTCTTTGAACAATCACATTGTCAAGTCGGACTTACCAGAAGTGAAAATGCGTGATAATGTATTGATCAGAACCAACGTTATGACGTTTCTCGGGGTGAGGTTCGATCGCAGCTTGTCATTCAGGGAACACGTTGACCATGTGATAACAAAAGCACGCAAAGGTCTATCTGCAATGAGGATTATGGCTGCTTCCAATATTGAGCAAAGACTACTAATACTTCTATTCTACGGTCTGGTCCTTTCCCCCATTGAATACGCTCTGTCAGTGCTACCCAGATTGAACGACTCGAAAAGGTGCAAAATGAAGCCATGCGCATTATTTTGGGATGTACTAGAGACACATCCTGTGGAGCAATGAGGTATCTACTTGACTTTCCAACAATGAACCAAAGGATCAGGATGTGGAGGGCTCGTGCATATCTCAAAATATGCGCTGATAAGAAACACCCACTGCATCAAGCGCTTTTTAGTGAAAAGGGCGACAGACTGAAGAGGGGGAAATCGTGGCTAGGTCGGGCAGAAGATATTATTAGGCAAATATGCAGCCTAACCGACATCATACCTGGTGCAGAATGGATACCTGTGCCTCAGGCGTTTATTTGTACATTTTCCTGTATTGTCACACTCAACAGGCGATGTAGAGAAGAGAATCCTGTTGCTGTTAATGCAGAGGTCAACGATCTCATCGGTGAAAATTCAGACGAAGCAGATGCAATAATCTATACAGACGGATCCGTTATACGCCAAAGAAGAAGCGCATGGGCATTTACAGCACGCTCAGCGGGCAGAACAGTCAAAGAAGCCAACGGCGCCTTCTCCATGACAACCAGCAGCATGACGATGGAGGTGATGGCAGTGACACAAGCGCTTGCCTGGCTTGAAACACAAAAATACACCCGCGTGTGTATACTCAGTGATTCAATGAGTATGATCCGGAGGGTTCAGGCAGGTTCAGTGCGAAGACAATGGCTTGAATCATTACAGAAGTCCACTGTTCGTGAGGTCACATTTATTTTTGTTCCGGGACACGCAGGCGTCGATGGAAATGAAAGAGCTGACAGGTTGGCTGGATCCGCTATCACTACCGACGGTCAGCCTATGGATCATGCTGATATTATCAATGCCCTCAGCGAAATGGGAAGAATAGAGGACTTTGGTGGCAGTGAATCCACATCACTCGCCAGAATGGCAGACTTGGGAATTAAGATCGGCACAGCAAAAAACGAGACGCACACCAGCTACGCCAGAAGACTTGTTAATCAACATAGAACTGGTACTATTAGCCATCGGACGTTGGGGTTCATACTGAGAGGAGGATCTGAGCACCTATGGACATGTCCGGAGTGCAATGAGGATAACCCAACTAACTAAATATGGCCTAACGACTTAACAGGGTTTCCGAGACCTTTTCACGGGTGATCCTCATTCGCCTGGTGGCACTTTGTGTCACGTGGTATTGATTGCTTGTGGGATGCCCTGGTAGGGTACAACTTACCTACCTATCTATATTAAGGCTGATTGTTCAAGGGAAAGCACTACTTGCTGACATGTTGAAACTAAATATGACAATAGTCTCCCTTGTTCTTATTGTATGAAATGTGGAGCAATCTCCTGGAAGATTTAATGTACAAGTGTGTGTACGCGTGTATGTGTGTCCTAGTGTGTATTATATGGTGTACAATACAAGTTTTAATTAAAGAAGTCACGGTAATACGGCAAACATAGGTACTACAGCAAGCACCTTGTTCTATTACACTGCGGCTGTAAAAATCAACAATGGTCATTTTTAATGTTAATTAATGTTGGTAGTCAGAGCTCTTGGGACAGCTACTGAATATATATATATATATATATATATATATATATATATATATTTACGAGGTCGAACTGCAACCTTTTCAATCTGTCCCGATTTCGTGCAAGGACTAGGGTGCAGACAAAATGCCTCATGGACGTTCTATTTGCGGTTGATGCAGCCATTACTACATATACTGAAAATGATCAGCAGATTCTAATGAATCGCTTTTGCAAATGCATGCAAACAATTTGAACTGACTATCAGTCACAACAAAACACAAGTGACGAAGATAAATGTGATCAACCCACCAAGCTTTGGCGTTTACGATATGAGCTGTTGGTTGATCATGAGTTTGAGTGCAAAGCTCTCGAATCACAAATGATCTTTTTCTAAATGCAGAACTAATCAATACTGGAAGCCCAAAAAGCATTGCATTCTAAACCTAATATGGTACTTTAACTTTAAACGACCCTATCCCATCGGCTTCAAAATTTCGTAGGGAATTCCTATGGATTTTCCGAGACAGTCCCATATTGTGGGAGTGGTGAAGGAAGAGTGTGTGTTTAGGTGAGTGTTAAATGAATAATGACTGCTACTTCTTAAAGCTCAGCACAGTGCACAAGCTCTGTAGCATCGGTGAGGATCCTGAAATACTTTGGGTAGATTTTTAACTCAACATTTTTGCCCGGGCAGCGCCGTTAGGCTTCTCTTTTCGATTTCCAACTGCCAGGGTATTTTTTTACGTGCGCAATAATGCACACGGGCGTCCAATCTCACTACCCAGAGCCCAGGGCGAATTACTAGAAGTCCAAGTCTACGTGAAAAAAGACAAGCCCTTATCTGGGGCTGAACCCCAATCCTCCAGCACTCTAGGGGGACACCCTCATATTTTCACCATATTGAGTTAGAAGAAGAATGGAGCACTTGTGGGTTAATACCTGTGTTCCATGATGTTGATCCGTTGTTCAAACCTCAAACCTCATTGTCATCGTCTGTTAACACCAATAACAACTTTATTCCAACATGAAAAGCAATTTATAAAACATTGGCACTAGACCAAAAGACAACACACACACACACACACACACACACACACACAGAGAGAGAGAGAGAGAGAGAGAGAGAGAGAGAGAGAGAGAGAGAGAGAGAGAGATACACTAACTATGATATGTACACGACTAGCACACAATAATAGTAAAAGACAGACTCGAACTTAGTAGGGGATACTAATCTAGGCTGATTGTTAGTGTCAGTCTGAGAGTGTACAATAAGGACGACAGACAGAGCTTGTTAAAGATTCATTTCTTTCCAAATCCACTGTGGAGACTGCTCCTTATTAAATAGCTTCTTCTTCTTCTTCTTTTTCTTATTCTTCTTCTTCGCGTTCACCGGCTGCAAACTCCGGTGGAAAGTTCTGGTTATTCGTCCACTTCTGGACTGCAGTCCTGTTCCAGAACCTGACTTTTGCGTGTGCATCCGTTTGACAGATCCGTATGCAGACTGTTGGTTCCTTGCCTCTCAAAATTCTTAACAATACATTTTTTTTTTTTCGCAAAATAAATCTTTGTATTGACGTTAGCACTTTTATTTAAAGTAGAGTACATGTTTTTCAGCGATAAACCAACTTAAACACGGTAAATCAGAAATTTGTGAAAATACGATAAGCTACTTTGGATTGTTTCGTTAATTTCGACAGCTACAAATTTGCATACTGTGCATTCAATCATGGCGGCCTCCCGGGCAATGATAAACAATGTCGCATGTCTGTTCCGTTGCCCTCTTGTGAGTCGAAATATTACTGAAGCACAGAAGAATGTTTTCCCTTCGAATTCTCTTTCTAGAAGATACTTTCAAAATCCAAGAGGTTGTATAAAAACTTTTAAATGACTTAATAAATTGTTTTCATTCAGTATTCAGGGTCGAGATCAGATCATGATCATCGGGATCGAAGAGGACAGGATGAGGATCGACTTTGCAGATGATGATTTCAGATTTGCACCGGTTTTTTTTTTTTTTAAATCCTTCCTTATCTTCTTCTTCTTCTTTGCGCCCGGTTTCGTATGCTCAGATCTGACCATCAGGTGGGTAGCCTCTATGAACTCGCAGGTCAGTAGCAGGTCCTTCATGGTTCCCCAAAGCTTGCTCTGCACACTTTGCTCTTGAGGTGAGGCGAGGTGTCTTTGTGAAGTTGTAGGTAGAGTGGGCAGGTCTACCTTTATCACTCAGTCTCTACCCACAGAATGACTAGCCGCCTAGCGAGAGTCGCACAGAGCATTAACTCCATAGCTCAGGTGACAATCTCCGTTAAAATGTCACTCGTGAACTGAACGGCACGGCCGTGAAACGAAATCATGACCTTCAGAGCACGAGACAAATGACTTTGCCACGGAGACACAGCTCCCCATATCCAGTATACTTGGCTATCCTCCGAATAACGGTCCCAAATTATCAAGGCTGAAAAAAACCTAACAGGGCCTCAGTCACCTGTCAATTGAGCACTTCCCGCAACTTAAATTGCACACTGTCAGCGACTTCCGCCACCGGCGAGAGTATCCCCCAAACTGCTCATGCGGGCTGGATTGGGGCTAAACTAGATGGCTGGGACTCATGAGCAGCAGCTACCTCATCTCCTGCAGCTTCCTTTATTTTATTTGCTCGTGAGTCCTAGCCATCTAGTTTAGCCCCAATCCACACCGTGTAAGCGTCCGGAAGTCCGCAATTGACACGTGACTGAGGCCCTGTTAGGGTTTATTTTCGGCCTCGATGATTTGAGACCGTTATTCGGAGGATAGCCGTTTATTTAAATTGAAGGTAACTGCAAACCTTTTGAGAGGGCGATCGGCCACCTTTTATCTCTGCATTGAAGGTCAACAGTGTGGTTTATTAAGAGGGTTTCCAAATTTGTATTCCCTGCTTATATAATCAGATAAACTTCTTCATCTAGTTAAGTCCCTCCTGTGATGCTGTTTACACTTAGTTTTGTATTAACATTTTTAAACATAGTAAAATTATTTTGGTTCCTATTTACCTATAAATACTAATAATACTACTACCAATAGATTGGGGGGGGGGGGGGGTGGAACCATGCCTTAACAATAAACAAAGTATCTGCCAGTCACGAATTGATCTATTCTATTAATTATTTGTAGCCAAAACAATTATAAAAGGTAGTTTCATAAAGAAAAAGAATTTCGTTCAAATCTTTTCGTCTTTTACTCGTAATGGCTTTATTGCTTTATCTCATGCGAGAGTGAGGTGTCAGTAAGAACAGTAAACAAATGGATTTACTACAGTAAACGAATTTACAACTTCCACAGGTGCTAAATGTAGACTTCTTGCAGGAGACAAATATATTGCCCAGATTTCTCTAGCCCCTGACTAAACATTCAAAAATGTTGATTGGCATATATCAGTATTATCAAATCCCTGCCAGCAGAGTTGAACCTGGTCAACCCTCCCACTCCTCTCACCCCCAATAAACTAATGATAGAACTCATCAAATGTATGGTGAGTTCTTTGGTATTGAATGAGTTAATGTTGACCAGGATTGTTCAGATGTTGGAGTCAAATTGTAAATACAGTTTCCTAATTGTACATGAAAAAGATCAATATCAACTCTGTGTGTAAATCATAACTTGTTTCCAATTTTCAGAGCTAAAGAAATTTTACAAGAAAGCAACTATAGCAACATCTGATGGTAGGTGCTCATTAAAATTTCTGTAATATTTTAACTCTTTGAGGCCTAAGGAACGCATCATACGTCTATAGGTTCCTACCTAGAGGCCCAGTGAACGCAAGATGTGCTGATTTTACGTTTCTCTTGACTACCCCTTGGGCCTCTGATGCTAAACCCCCTGGGACTCAAGAGTTAATGAAGTATGTCCTCTGGAGCTTTACAAAATCTGTTGTTCTTGTTGGCTTGCTGCTAATCTTTTTTTGTTAAATCTGAAGGATCTAATATAACCCCCCCCCCCCCCCCCCGCCTCTTCCAAGAACTACACCAAATACTAGTGTGTTGATTAAAGTCACAATAAAATTGTTTCCCTGTTTAGCTCTTTCAGTCCTACAAGGTCCTAGCTGATGTCTTACAGTAACTGAACTCAGGGGTATACTATTTCCTGAGGGCCTAAATATACAACACTCGCAGAAAACAGATATGTTGTCAGAGTTGTTCAGAGTCCCTTACTAAACTGGTGCATGGGAATTGACATACAAACACGAATGAGGTATGGCTGCAAAGAGCTTTTTAATGTCTATCCAGTTGTGCTGGTTTTGTTAGTATAGTATAGAATAATTTTGAAAAATCAGCTTAAGTACCTAAAAAGTTAGGCATAGTGAATTGTTTGGGTCAGAAAGAGTTAAATCCCACCTTTGTTAGGCATTTAACTGTTATTATCCGTTAAATTTATTGTTTGAAAACTTTTTTTTTAGTGCCATACCGACTGGCTCTGGTTAAGTCCATTGCAAGTTCATTACTTCCCGAGACAGTTCCTGGTACCTGTTTTAAGCTGGGCTGATCTGGAAGTTCAGATCAGTTTTAAAATTTCGAAGAGATTCAAAGCTGTGTCCACCTGGTCTGCAGGCACACATGCTAGCCATTGTATTGCTTGGGTTTTCTTCTTCTTCTTCTTCTTGATTCTGCTGTTTATCCCCCTTGACCAAATATCACCAAGTCATCTTATCCTTTGCTATCACGTGCAGCTCATGCAATGTCTTCCCCATCTTTTTAACTTCCTTCTCTAGTTCCCCGCTCCATGTGTTTTTTGGGCTACCTTTATTTCTACACCCTTGTAGTTTTCAATTAAAAGCCCTTCTAGGTATAATCTTCTCAGGTTTTTTCATTGTGTGTTCTGTCCAACACCAGCATTTTTTCTTCACCTCTTGATTCAATGGAATTCATTTAGTTTTGTCCCAGAGCTCAACATCAGTGATTTTATCATCAATTCCCTCAGGTGCTTCTACAGAATGTTTAAATATTAATGAAATATTGACAATTTGTCTAAATATGATTTTTTTTTGTGGGGGGGGGGGGGGGGGGCAGGAGGACAGTGGAGGATGTGGTTTTGTGGTCAGTGGAGGATGTGGTTTTGTGGGAAGTGGAGGATGTGGTATTGTGGGCACTGAAAGATGTGGTTTTGTGGGCAGTGAAAGATGTGGTTTTGTGGGCAGTGAAAGATGTGGTTTTGTGGGCAGTGAAAGATGTGGTTTTGTGGGCAGTGAAAGATGTGGTTTTGTGGGCAGTGAAAGATGTGGTTTTGTGGGCAGTGAAAGATGTGGTTTTGTGGGCAGTGGAGGATGTGGTTTTGTGGGCAGTGAAAGATGTGGTTTTGTGGGCAGTGAAAGATGTGGTTTTGTGGGCAGTGGAGGATGTGGTTTTGTGGGCAGTGGAGGATGTGGTTTTGCAATAGAAAGCTTAAAATTCCTTGGACAGCTAAACTGAGTAATCCTGATGTGTTGAAACAGATGGGGCACAAAGACAACCTATCACAGATATCAGAAGGAGGCGGTCATCATTTGTTTTCCTTGAAAAAGGGGAACAAACAGTTTGTGACCACTGGAAAGATTTCCAGAAACATAGAGGAAGACAGCGACAGAAGATTCTTAATGCCTCTTGTCATGGCATAAGGGGGTGTTAACTCATGATATGATAATGATGTTATAGATCACAGGTTTTGAAGAGACATGATCACCTACACCATTCGACAAGACACTTATTGATAATTTCGAACATGGCATGAATGACAGAAGTTATACACATTTCTTGTATTGCAAGGCTGGTATGAAATCAACCTGGACAAGAGAAAACTTCGAACCCCGCATGGAAACATCTTCAAGGTCCCCAGTGAGCCGCTAGCACTAGCAGTGGCCACAGAATGGAACACACAGGACAAAATTGTGAACAGACAGGCCATGCACTTGGTAAGCTTTGTTTTTTATATTTTTTAATAGCAAATTAATTAGTCAGGTGATGAGTGTTATGGGCCAGGAAGAAAATAAGTATCGACTCTCGTCTCATGTTTACTTAATTGTTACGGCTTTGAGTGTCAAGAGAGATATAGGGTTCTTCTTCTTGCTCTTCTGGTCACCTCGATCGTAGACATATAATGATGTTGTAGATTTTCTCTCTTGAGGGAAAACTGCCTCATAAACAGCATCTTGCTGATCTTTTTTTTTCTTGTCCCAGGATTTTGACCGCCCCTGTACATTTAGTCACGCTTATTTTATTTAATATATAACCATTACTTCAGTCTTCCCAATATTACCGCTAATTTTCTTTTATATTACCATTGCTTCAGCCTCCCATTATGCTCTTTTCTTTGTTATTACCATAACATTTAATTCAGTTTTCTTATTATTAAATCTATTTTTTGTTGTTGACATTACCATTACTTCATTTTTCTCATTATTGTAGCTATTTCCTTTGAAATTACCATTATTTCAGTCTTCCCATTATTCAAGCTGAGGCCCACTCTTTTACATTCTACAACAAGTGCATTTATAAATTCCTGTAGTGCTTTTTAACTAATAGACCATAAAAACCTCACATATCTTGTTCCATTTAAAGACAGTAACAAATTCCTAATTACGCAGAGGCAGACCTCAGTGAAGATGATACAAGACATTTAAGGTGCACTGGCTATGAAAGCACCTATGGCTAGAGAATTTGCTAGAGAAAGAGATACTTTCCGGCATGCTGTAACGAGAGCGTTGTACCATAAAGTACCTGTTGATCGATGATAATGTTTTACAAATTCTTTACCCGGCTCTCTAGCGTAGTTGGCTAAATCTGATTGCGCGGTGACCGGGTGACGAACTCCTTGTGGTCCAGGTTCACTCCCGGGGGTAGGCAGAAAAGCCACATTTCTCCCAGATTTACGGTATTTACAATGGAATCAAGGCCAAAAGGTTGCGATATCCATAAAACCGAGCCTAAGGGTTAACAACTCATGGCTTCTGGATACTAAAACAAACAAACAACAACAAATTCTTTACGTCTGCTAAGCTGGGCATTAAGAGATGTGATGTTTCACAGTCACAAAATTTTCCTTCTTTTTTAAAGAATTAATTTGTCTTTAGGGTCAAGATATGTTGTAAGTGTAAACCTCTCTGCCTGATGTCATTAAAGGTCTGTTGTTGTATAAAGTGTATTTATTGCTGTTATTAATTATTACCTGGTTAGCATGGAATGTTAATTTCAACTTTCACATATCTTTTCATTTGTAGACATCTCTGAGTAACACAGCTCTGGAAAACCCACTTCACAAAACCAGAAAGGAAATGACTGAGGCAATCATCCATTTTTTGGAGACAGACACAATTTGGTATGTGTGTAAACGTTTCTTTAATTTTTCTTCTTCTTCTTCTGCAAATTATCCCCTCGTGAAGCATGGACTGTCAACCATCTCACACCAGGTCATCCTGTCTTTTGTGATTTGCTTACAGGTCGCCTATGTTATCTCTGTCTTAAGGGGTCTCTGTGGTGCGGTTGTCAAGCCGTTTGTATCGTGCTTTGAAGGTTGTGGGTTCATTTCATCGTGGTGCTGTTCAGTTCGCGAGTGCAATTTTTATGGAGATCCTGGGGATTGTCGCCGGAGCTACGGAGATCGTGCTCTGTTGCGATGCTCTCAGCAGGCAGCTAGCTGTCCTGCAGAGAAAGACTGAGCTGTGTGGGATAAAACCTGGTGCAGTGAGGTCAGTCCTCTCTCATTTACCCTTTACAATCTTATTCACCTCAGTCTCAACTTAGCTTCTCAGTGTAATTTTGGTATCTCTTTATTTTTGTTGGCTACAGTGCAACCCTATTCTAGTTACATTATCTCACCGCCCAACACCAGTGTGTTTTTCTCATCTCTTTTCCCAGACATTTGTTTACTTCTCTTGCATAACTCTACATTGTTATTCTATCATACTATAAAGAAATGATATGCAGCAGGGTTGAGTAGAGTTGAGTCAAGAATTGATATCACAGCACTCGGGGCATTCCCATGTGTGCTCCGTCCTCATCTTCAGCAGCCAGTGCAGTTCCAGTACTGATAGTACCGGGCACAATCTGGTTATATATCTGTCTTGCCTTTCCTGTGGGTATAGTGAGCCGGCCAGACCCTCTGGTTACACCCAGGTGCCTTATACTCTTCAGGCCATAATAATCTTGTTTCTCTGCTAATTCTGTTGCTCGTTCCCAAAGGGCCTTGACCACCTCTGCCTTGTCATGTATCAGTTCACCACCCAGTGGTGCAGATCCAGCCAATCTGTCTGCTTGTTCATTACCCACTACACTGGCATGACCTGGAGAAAATATCCAAAGTATGCTCACTACCAGTGACCTTCCCAGTGAAGCTTGCCACTCTGCTCGAAGCATCCCTGTCTTCACCTTTCTCAGCATGCTTTCAGTGTCTGTTACAATTACAACATGTGTATGCATCTTGTTCTCTAGCCACCAGAGAGCTGCAGTTTCCACCTTCCTCCATTCTCATGCTAGATGTTGTGATGTCTTATGCTAGGCTGCCTTGCACTAAAAATTTTCCATTGGCTTTTGCAACTAACCCACAGGGCCTTCTCTTTCCTCTCACTACCGAACCATCTGTATAGATAATCAGGTCATCTGGGCATGAATTGTCATAAATAGGTATGCAGCAGGGCTGTTCATCTAAGTTTACTCAGGTTCTGTAACAAGACCAAAGTTCAGAACTCAACAAACGATCGAAACTGTCAACCAAAATTTACGGTCGTTGAGAAGAAGAAGAAGAAGAAAAAACAGATAGTCGCAAATCTGTATGCAGATGCAAAACGTGGATGCTGAACTCAAAGACAATACACCTACATGTACATAACTACTTTAGTCATTACTTTTCTTGCAGAGGAGGGAACAGCTGCACTCCAGGTTTAACCACTATAGACATTTCCACTAATTAAGAAGAGTGTATAATGTTGAGAACTATTTCAAAGGAGAGAATCAAGTAATCACAGTTCAATCTTCATAGCAGACTGGTCGTCACATAGCTGCTCAATTCCTTTGCCAATGAAAACTACACAGAATCAGTGACCCTTGTGAAAAAATTACACCGTCAATAGTCTCAGCAAATCCAACAGCATGCACATGCATTAAATGCATGCAGCAGCCAAGAAAGCCAACACATAAAAGTCTGGCACTAGAAATGCAGTTCATTGTCAGTGGAAGTAGCAGTTACAACAGCTAAGTAGTTGCACATGCAATTGATTGCATAAGGTACCACAAGGTCTCTGGCAGCAGGAAAGTCACCATTTTCTGAATCTACAGTTCACAACACAAACCACTTTAGGCACAGTCAAAAAGTATTCCAAATGAAATTCACAGCATGCACTCAGCTCAGTAGCTGACAAAACTGTATTGTTTCAGTCTAAACATGGAGGAAAATGCAACAGCTAACTATTATTAGAAGCAAAAACTTGCCAAGACTCAAAACTGTAAACCAGCCTATCCATCATATTAACAGGAAGTCTGATTAGATTGAAAATAAAGCGTACTTAAAATGTGAGTATGTTTCTTTTATAACTGTCTTTATATGGAAATAAAAAATAACCAGCATAAAGTGTAATAAATGATGTAAAGGGGCGCCATAATTAATGTATGTCTAAGAAGGAGGGCTATACCGAATAGTGATTTTTACTATTTGGCCGAATACGAATAGTGGGACCAACTATTCGGCCGAATACCAATACAAATAGTGTATCATCATTATCAGGTGCCTTGCCGACTGGCGTGGGCGAATATGCCTCAGCACAATCAGCGATCTCCCGTGGCGCGGTGATTTATGTCACAGGCGTGAGGGAAAGTTAAGTCCAACATGATGTGTATAAGGAGATACTCCGTACGTCACTCGGGCGCCAGTCCTTCACTGTTCTGGTTGTACGGAACCTCACGCAAGACCCCTGCAGCATGTCCTCGTCGTGCGCCACGGATAATGTCTCAAATGAGCATTAACAGAGCTGTCAGGGGATCTCCGAGTTTTGGCGGCCCCCAGAGGTGATATGTCCTTGTGGCTCTCATCAGCCCGCCCCCAAGCGCATGGGTGAAAAAGGTTATCAAAACTCATTAGGAACATGAGTAAAGTGCTTGCCGAATGTACAACTAAAATTACAACCCTTGGTTAAAAGATTAGGGAGTGAAGAGAACATTGTTCTACTGAGACTCAACCCTTGACCTAGAGATTTACCCGCAGCACAGACGAGTAAAATCTCCTGTGGGTGGCGTCTCGCAGCAAGATTCTACCCATGTACATCCTCTGTTAACCCTCAGTGTCGTCGTCACCGCGCTGAGGTACACCAAGACAGCAACCACCCACCGGCTGGCTAAGCCTAAATGTCCAACAAAACTAGAACCTACGTCACACGAGTAAGCTCAAAATCTGACCATCACAAATCGTATTGAACGGAAAAAGTCCAAATGTCCACACCAAAAGACCCCAATCGCCCGAGTGCTGGAACCAAACAGATAACTATATGCCTAAAGCAGGATGTTGAATTTTGTCGGGCTAAAGGCTTGTCAAAGATACCTAACGTGCGAAGAAAAAGAATGTACCTATTTGGGTGGTCACAAAAGTCCAGAATTCGCGGGCTGCTCCCCACTGACTTCCGGAGGGCGCAGCCCTTGTCGAGCGGGAGGCCTAATACGGTTGTGACGTCAAGCAGGCATGTGCAGGACGTGACGATTCCTTGGGTGAGCCCAGAACCAGAGCGCCATGTGCCTTCTTGGATGGCGGGGAATGCCCATGATCTGCCCCTGCCTTCCCTTGAGGGCCAACCGTTCAACAGGGGGCTGCCCCAAAGGGGTAGGCCGGGGGCAATACCTGTGGAGAAGGAGACAAAGTGGACACCACACAAATCAGGCAACGTCTCGACCCACACAAAACAATGGCCACAGTCATCCTAGAAATAGGCCTGACGTCTTCCCTCGAAGTCAGAGTACAGCTGCCCATGAGGCAGGGAACAACAAAACGGTTGTACACGCAAAACTCAGGTCCATGTAAAAGCCAAAAGTCCAAGCGGACGATTAACCGGGACCTTCCGCTGGAATTCACAGCCGGTGAACGAAGAAGAAAAAGCGATCTCCCGCAGCATGTATTAGTTCGTTTGCTGACACACCTCCATGCCATGCAACAAGAATGTCAAGAATCTTCTCTCGTTGTCTTCCTCTATCCCTCCTTCCACAGATCTTTTCAGTGGTCACCACATGTTCCATTTTCCCTCTTCTCACTCATAACATAGTCAAAAAATGTTGTCTGTCTTCTTCTGATGTCTGTGATTGGTTGTCTTTGGGCTCCCGCAACTTTCAAAACCTCTTGGTTGCTTTTTTTGGCTGTCCAGGGTATTTTAAATATTGTTCTGTAAAACCACATCTCTGAGGCCTCAAGAATTTGTTTGGCCTGCTTACCGATTGTCCAGGACTCACAGCGCATTGCCTTTAAATATAAGTGCTAACTTGACAAGGCTAACAGTGACTGTTGTACAGACCACATTTTCCACTTTAAAATTTCAGCAAAAATGTAATCACAACCTTACTTATCCACTGCTCCTTCACGAATACAGATGGAGGATCAGTCGCACCTCGAGATAAATACAAAGACAATTTTTAGCACGCTGCTGTTGGCAGTTTATGCAGTATGATACACTTTGAGTGTGAAACAAGGAAAAAACCTTTTTCGACAGTGGCGAGGAAAGACAGTTTAAATTTTAACTTTTAAGTATCTTCATGCCTTCTTTTATAATGTCACAATTTATGACGACTTTTCTTGATTTTCACCGCGGCACCCCTGGCATATGCACCCAGTTTAAGAACCTCTGCTGTAATGCCTCTGTCGAGTCAGCAGGCAAAGACCTTGCTAGCTGCTGTACAATGCAACCTGGTCACAGTTTCTCCCACTGCGACAGACTTAGGCAACAGCAACTATTGTGTTAATGAAAGAGTTATTTCAGTCCATCGCAGTGTATGCAGAAACAGGTTTAAGGTAACCACTATTCGTATTCGGCCCGACTGCAAGTATTCGGCCAAATACCAAATAGTTATTAAGTCCACTATTCGACCCTGAAGCGAATACAAAGCGAATATTCGGTACAGCCCTACTAAGAAGGAATGATGGCCACATAATGAGAATGAGTCCTGATATACCTGTCAAAATAGCCCTCCCTCGGACACCAGAAGGAAAGAGAAAGAAAGGATGCCCAGAAACAACATGGAGGTAAACGATGGAAAGTGGACTGAGTGCTGCATCTCTGACATGGAAAACTGCACTGAAGATTGCACAGGACAGGAAGGCAGCATGAAAAGTCCTTTCTGAAACCTTATGTGCCCCTGGGCATAAAGACAATGATTGCACAGGACAGGAAAGTCCTCTCTGAAGCCTTATGTGCCACTGTGCATAAAGACAGAGACTGCACAAGACAAGAAAGCATGGAAAGTCCTCTCAGAAGTCTTATGTGCCACTAGGCATAAAGACAGTTGAAGAAGGAATGATAACATGATTTTGGTATTCTATAAATCTGAAACAATTGCTGATGCTATGAGCAATCCATGACTAAATTGATTTCATGAGCTTTTTATGTTTTCTCCAGCTACAGACTCACAGATCCACCGGAGCTAGCGAAGCTAGAGCATGACTTATGGGATCCTATCTTAGAGTGGGCAGCTCAGAGGTAAAGTCAGATTCTCATTACTTTTTTCTCTTCTTTATTCTCCCTTAAAAGGGTGGTTGGTACATTGTTTTGTGGTTTACAATTAGGCTGTGATATCTGCACCTTTCAGGCCAGTACATATGATTTCTGCAGTGTATTAATTAGTTGCCTTTAAACAACTGGATTTTTAGGGGATAGTGGGTCATTCTCCCCATCCCTTTTTTTTAACATAATGCGGGCCTATATTTTATATTTATATTTGGGATTAATGCTTTCAATAGTTTTTAGTTTCATGTTGATAGAAGTCTGTAGGGCACTCTGATAAAATTGGTTGTTACAGAAAAGCTTATGTGGATGATATAAAGTGCAGATGAAGATACTGCTGCTGATTTTTATACAGTAATTATATTCTGATAACTTTTGGAGACTGTGAATGTAAAAAAGTTCATTTACAAAATGGAACCTCAGAACCCACACAGGGAAACACTTCTTTTGTTCTAGGTCGTCATCAAAAGGTTCTTAAATGTACTGTAGATGCCAGTGTGTTGTTCATATAATTTGTATTGTCCATAATTTGAGTTTTTAATAAACAAATACCTCTTTTCTTTTTTTTAAATATAAGCTCTTTTAAAAAAAAATAATAAAAAAAAATTCTTTTGGGGGGGGGGGGGGGGGGATCTTATTCTGCTGTATGGTATCGGATCTCGGAATAGGAGTGAACAAACTAGGATAGGCCTTGAGACAGCGTGATTGTGATGTCTAAGGCCAAATGTTATGAATACTTTGGACAACCAGAGTTAACCAACACTGTTTGGAAAATGATTGTAAGATAATGAATGTAGAATATCACCTGAACACTTTTAGGGAAGAGAGAGAGCCAAACAGACAGCCAAGATGAACAAACAAATGAACTATATTTTCAAAGGGTGGCAAATTGGGCATGGGTCACAAATTGGGCAGGATGATTCCCAAGAGACTTGCAGGCTGTTTCATTAAAATGGCTAGACTTATTCGCCATTACCTCCATGTTGAAACACCTACTTATTTGGATTCTTATAATAATTTGTTTTGTTCAGATATGGTATAGAAATCACACCTACGTACAGCATAGACCCTCCGAAAGTCAGTGAAGAATCTAAGGATATCATCCGACGACATTTGCTGTCATACAGTGATTGGGCCCTTTTTGGTGAGTAAACATTGGGCCAAACCACATGCAAAGCATTTAGCAAAACCATTCTTATGATGTAAAAATCAACACATCATCATTTTAGCATGTATGGATGGGGTTCGGCTCATGCTGATCTGAAGCTGACAAATTTTAGGGGCCACAAGGATTCTGTTTACTACATACCATGTTCTCATTGTATGACACCCCTATTATTTAGCCCACAGTTGTAAAATAAATATTGTAAAGACATTTCCTGGATAAGATGACCCTCTATTTTAAATTTTTAAAAATTGAGAAAACATTGTCTTAAACATATAAAAATTTGCTTAATGTTTCAAGGTATTTAATGTGGCATGAGAGTGACAGATAGCATCATTCCATTTATTCTGAGAAAATGCACGATGTCCAGATACTTCTTTCAGTAATAGATCTGTAATTGAAATGTTATGAAGATTTCAACTTTTTTGTTATTCAGTAGGTTTTTTTAATGTACTTTTGAACATTTTTAGTAGAAATCATGCTCAATGGACTTCGGGACTCTCTTGTCAAAGTAGTGTACGACTCTTTTGACAGACATCATTTATCCAAGATTTTGGGGTGGGCAGATGAGTGCCAGATGTTTTCCGTTTCCAGGCTTTTGTTTGCTGCATTTAAATTAACCCTGAGATCCCCTGCCACTTAGCTTTAGGCGTATGACACCATTTATCTCTGGCATACACTGAATGTGTATGGCAGGAGTCTTGCATGAGACATTAACCAAAGAATACATCGGTAGTTGGTAGTTGAGTTCCAGCTTCACTGCAAATGGGTAACCCATAATTTTATCTCCTGTGTCAGTGAAAATCACACAAAATGTTCCTACTCTCCATTGTTAAACTAATTTACAATACATAAAGAGACATATGTATCTGTACTTGTACAGGCTATCACTATGCTGTGGATACCATCAAGTCCTTACTGATCATCATGGCATTAGTAGACAAACACATCACAGTGGAGACGGCTGTGGATCTGGCAAGACTTGAGCAAGTATTTCAGGTCAGATAGTACTTTTAGATTGTGTATTATGTTATGTTATTTTATCACTCAGCTGACCTCATTGCACATTGAGCTTTCCTATGCAGGCTGAGTCCTCTGGTGCAGCAGTCACTTTCAAGGTACCTCAACTGATTGTTCCTGTGAGAAGCTGGTTATAATGTCTCCTGTCTTGACCCCGAGGATGGCATAAGCTTGGTTCCCTAAGCTTTACTCCCAGGTCACGCAACCATCTTAGTATCAGAGATTCATTGTTATCCACCAGTTGAGTCCAAACTGCATCCACAGTATCAGCTGTGTACATGCCTCTTCCCATATGCATTGGTGTATTACTGTTTTTTTCTCTTCTGTTTAGACTTGAAATGTAATGTACCTGTGTGTTTCTGGTACTCGATATATACTTGCACTGCCTGCTATTGCAGATAGGCTCCAAGTTCTGCAAGCAAAGTCATATCTCAAAGTAGCTGCAAGTAAGAAGCACCTCCTGCATGAAGCCCTAGGTAGAGCTAAGGGTCACAGACTGAAAATAGGAAGGTCTTGGTTAGCGCAAACTGTAGACACAATTAGACGTATGTGCAGGCTTGATAAATGTGGGTGAGGAGAGGAGCAGATCAAAGTGTCTCAGCAAATATCAGACTTTTGTAGGGTTATAATCACTTTAGGTCATGAGTGCAGGGACTGGCCAGTTTATGCTGCAGAATCAGTTCAACAAATGATTCATGACAATTCCCGCCCAGGTGATGTGATTATTTATACAGATGGCTCTGTGTTGAGATAAAGATAAAGTGCATGGGGGTTCATAGCCAAAGCACATGGACGTCGCTTAGTGCAAAAAAGAACCGGCATGTGATATCACAGCTGGTTTGACATATTTCCATGGCAGAGCATGTACTCCAGGACTGCACAGATTTTGACACATTAAGGCAAACCTTTTGGCCAGAAAGAACAACAGTGGAACGTAAACTCTATGGACCACTGAATGAACTAACAACGACAGTGAAATATATACAAAATACAAAACTGCTGATATAGACAACTTATTTCAGGTGAACGAAAGAAGAAGAAGAAGCTGGTTTGAAAGTCAGCTGTACACACATGTCCCAATTGTAACTAACTCACAGTGTATGTTGGTAAAGGTTGAGACAGGCTTGCTCCGTGCAGAGTGGGAAGCATCGCTTCAGAGGTCCCGGGTAGATAGTGTCCTTCGGATATTTTCTGCAGGTCATGCTGGTGTGTTGGGAAATGAGCAGTCAAATAGACTGGTCGGTTCTGCACCACTTAGTGGTGAATTGATGTATTTCAAGCTAGATTTTGTGAAGGCCTTTTGGGGCGCAAGCGAATAGTGAGGAGGTACAAATAGATCATAATGGCACTGCGAGGAGTTACCAGCTGATCTGGCCGACACTCAGCATTTAGGGAAAGGCGAGATGGATGTACAGTCAGTCTCTGGTACCATCAGAATTGGAACTCTTCGCTTGCTGCTGAAGATGTGGACGGAGCTCTTATGGGAGTGTCCGAGTTCTGTGATGCCCTAATTCAACCTTTAGCCTAATAGTACTCATAAGAAAAACAAAAGTAACATCGCAATCCACCAGGGGTTTCGTTAGAAGTGACTAGTAAAAGTTGCTTGCAGCTGACTTCCTCAATCCTGTTGAAAACTTCAGCTGAAAAATCTAATCAGTGACAGACAAGTCTTGAATGGGCTTGGCATTGGCTATGTGGGAGCCTACTTTGCTAAACTTGGAGATAAAAGACAGAAGAAAACTGGAAATGTTTTATCAGATTACCCCTAATTATTATGTCTTTTCCTGGAACTTGTTGAACTACCCCACAGCCATTATAAAATGTATCCGCATGAATGATTCATATTTGGCATGTGGTCTTTTATTTATTTTATGATTATCTTCTGCTGCAGGCAGTGTTTTTTTCTTCTGAATTTGACTGAATATTTATACTTGACAGTGAAAGCTTGGTTATGTTAACGTAAGTATGTACATTTATGTTTCAGACAAACCACTGGGGTAGCGTGGAGTGGTACCATGGTATTGAAACATATGAGCTGCGTTGCCGGTTGTCTGCAGCTGCTTTGTTCATTCACTGGTGTAGTGAAAGCTCAACAGTCAAACAGAAAGCATCTTTGAGGCCAGTCTAAATAAACGCTGAGTTAAACCAGGGAGATTGTTATGAACATGAAAAGGAATGAACCGGCTGGCAATAGGGCAGAGTATGGAAGAGTTATAAACATGTATCATCTGATGTTGCGAGCAGTGGGTTTTTGTTTATTGTTTTTGTGTGTACTTCAGTATTTAATCCAACACCCTAGAGATGGAGTGAAAACAACAACAGAATAGTAGAATTGTGAAAGAATTCACATTCTACATTTTGTGTTTGAGTAATTGGAAATATACTTCTCATAATTGTATCTATGATCAACTAAAATAAAAACAAAACACACTGAGAGAATAAACTTCGTGCATACTCTGTATTTCATTGTTTTATTAAATTAGTTCATATCAAGCATACTTGTATGTATTGTTTGTACAAGTGTTGTGTGAATAGTGCAGAATGGAGGCAAATAAAGCAAAAGTGTAATATTGATACAAGTATGTTATAAATGTGAAGTATATGTGTGTGATATTGATACAAATATGGTATAAATGTGAAGGATAAGTGTGTAATACTGATTCAAGTATGGTGTAATTATGATATACAAAAACAAAAAATATAAAATTATATATAAAAGCTGCAGTAAAATATCAGCAGCAATGTAAGTAGATAGCATACTTTTCTTAATAAGGAAAATATTTCACAACTCAATCAGATTGATCGCAGTGATGATACAAAATGCTTCTGTGTACTCAGCTGATTATTTTGTGTTTTTGTGTGTTAATTATAGCCTTCTGATTTTACCAGTTATTTTCTAAATGGTCTGTTATTCATACCAGCAGCAGATGATGTAATAAGAATCGGCTTGTGAGCAGTGACATAATTAAGTTGGTTGATTGCTCTTTACAGGACTCAGTACCAACCCAAGTATTTTGTGCTGTAGAGGTTTTTATAGACAATTCAGTAGTTTGCCATTGTTTTTTTTCAATGTTTGGCTCTTGATACCACTGTCATAACCAATACAAGACTGTCTGTTGCTAAATCGTCCGAAGCTAGAATTGAGCCTGGCACCACGGCATTATGAAGCGCATTCACAACACCTAAGCCACAGACACCGACAATAGAGACACAATTACAGACTGACATTTTTGTTTGTGTGAAGAAGTGGGCGTCAGCCTGCCAGGCGGTAGTGGTTGCACTGGGAGAGAAACAGAAGCAGACAGGAAAAGAAAAACACCTTGTGGTTAATTCCGTCTCTATTGTCGTTTCCATCTGTTGTCTGCACTGCTTAAGAACTTTCCATACTCATATTAGATTCATATTTATATCTTTCCAGACTCATTTAGGACTCATATTTATATCTTTCCAGACTCATATAGGACTCATATTTATATCTTTCCAGACTCATATAGGACTCATATTTATATTTGTTCGAGACTCATATTGGACTCATATTTATATCTTTCCAGACTCATATTGGACTCATCAGTAATTTTTGTACTTATGAACAGATATCAGACCAAATGAAAAGTAGAACTACTCAACTTCACATTCTCACATTCTCACAATCACAAATGACAAGTGAACATTGCGTCATCAGCAATGTTAGAATTCATTCATTTCATTATCCTATTGTGCCATTATACCTCACACAGGGCTCACAGTCTTTTCCTTCACCTCCTTAATCCCTTTATTTCCCACGTTAATGCCTGTTTGGTAATTCTCTGCTGGTTGCTTCTCAGGATGTGTTCAAGGTAGCACCATTGTTTCTTTCTTATAACTGTTGCCCAGACATTTCTCTTGTTTCTTCACTCCTTTTGGATTCATCCAATTTTATTTTCATCACTTTCCTTTGACATTTGTTTATGAATGGATTTCATTTTTGTTCCGGTTCTTTAGTGGTTCTCCAACTTTCACTCCAAGAGAAAACCACATGTCCATCTGGTTAGTTGAAGCTCTGACAAACATACAATTTTTTGTACTGATATGCAAAGCTCTTCATATTCACTACTTTTGTATGCTAAATGGTCTTTAACACTCATGATGAATGAACAACACAGAACCTAATGGCTGAGGAACACTTTGGGTCATATAAACAGTGAAGTAACAACAGCAAGGAACCCTTTTCCATGTCTTCAGGTATATTAGTGACCTTTACTTCCCAAGATTGTACCTGGTACCCACTCAAGGCCTGAGAGCCAAGGCTATTTTTGAAAAAAGTCGGGCTCCGTCAGGACCCAAACCCACAACCTTCTGGCATCCGGCCACTACACCACCGTGGCTCTCATATAAACAGTATGATAGACAAATTAACATGTATTGATTGGTACTCCTATGAGGAAGAAGAGATAAGAGAATACACTGCACAGCATAACAATCACAAGCTATATTTACCATACCAGGACTCAAACTTGTCACCTCCATGTGACGACAGGCAAGAATAAACTGTACTTCGACTCTTGAACAACTCACAAGGTGTTCTCCTACCCCTACTTCTTTCTATAAGTGCCAATGAATTCCTGCTAATTTGTTAATAATGCAGCGACAGCACTAGAGTAATTGAGTAGCAGTCATTGTTTCAGGTTTGCATTGAGGTGGATTCGTACAGATAGCTTCCAGGCCACCCAGCCAGTGTTGGGAAATGTTCTGGTAAGTAAAGATGGCCAGGATGGAAAACAGAATTCTCAAGAGCTATATAAATCCTAGCCTCATATAGAAAGTGAATCATGGATAGTTACATAATGTGCAAAATTATTTGGTAGTGGTGGAGATGTAGATTTATAGGCGAATGATGATAATACTCTATATAGATAAAAAGAGTAATGAAAATGTCTTGAAGAGAACTGATTGCCCAGTCAGAAGGAGACAGACAATCTACATTCTTGATCATGTCATGAGAAGGAGAAAACTGGAGCATAATGGTGGGGAAGAGGCAGAGGGAGACAGTTTGACATCATGGCAGACAAGATCAGGGTAACAGAAGTGAATGAAAGTGCACGAGACAGAAGGCTGTAGATAGATATGACTACCAATGTCACTAGGGCATGGACTATGAGAAAAAAGGTGGCAGACGTTATGTTTAAAACATCACCAATTGAGTTCTAGTTGGTGTATACATATAAACATTTACTCACGGCAGAGATGCGGTTTCTGAGAAGAATGCAAAGAATATAAACGAAACAGTCCTCATCGAGAAAGATGAAAGTGGTAAAATTATTATAACAAATAGACGTAGACATTCAATTTTTTCAGACATATAAAAAGGAATGGACTCGAGAACTTGGCGACAACCGGCAATATTGAGGGAAAGAGAACAACAGGAAGGCAGAAAAATAGCTGGATGGCCTGGTCAGATAAATGGAGGCGAGACAAGAACATTGAACTGATTCATGATTCTGGTGATCACGTGAAATGGCAAAACATGACAGCCTACGCTTACCCGCATGGTATATGATGATGATAATACAGTACTAGCACCATATACCCAACTTGCCTTAGGCATAGAAAAGGCTACAGCTTGACAATCTACTTTCTTCTTCTACCCTTTACACTAAGACAACCTTTTCTTTGCCAGTGCATCTCACTCCATGTCCTTCCCATCTTTTTGACTCAACTCCCTTTTGATCTAACTCTCTAGTTCCCTTAACGTATGTTAGGGTCTCTTTTTTTACTTCTTTGATCCTGTGGATTCAAGCACAAAGACATTCTACCAATAGTCTTGTTGGGTTTTCTTAATGTGTGCCTTATTCGACACCACCTTCTTGTCCTCACCTATTGATCCATTGGATTTGTTTAATTGACTCCTAAAGCTCTACATTTGTGATTCTAGAAAAACCATTTAATTCCCTCTGTTGTGGACAGGCACCCTTTAATGAAAATTCAAGTTTATTAGTAAATGTTTCAGTTCTGCATCTGCTTTATCTTTATTTAAACAAAACGTACATTATTTTTGCATATTTACTTCAATGTTTAACCATCTACATTCGATTCTTCCTCAATTACTTCGGGAAATTTGACATCACTTGCCCGAGGTTCCGAAGTTATAGATTTGGGTCTTTCGATTGAAAGCCTGCTGTGGTAACTGCGAACTACTACCATTTTTATCTTCGACTGCGGCGCGTGAGGCTGCAGAGTAAAGTAAATTGTCAGTTTCAAGTCTATTAGATTGACTGAAAGCGGTGAAGAAAGAGCGACCAAAGTCAAGGTAACAGTAAGTCAAGGTAACAGTAAGTCAAGGACACTTTTCCACGCCTTTTACAGGCATAAAGGGCTAGACCTATATTTTATAGACCAGTCTGCACTTGTTGGCTGATGTGGTCAGCATCACGCAGGCCACCTTTACTTTCCAGGACTGTACCTGGTACCCACTTAAGGCTGAGTCTATCTGGGAGCCAAGGTCTTTTTTCAATAAATTCAAGAACTTCTGTTTTGCAATTGAGCATCTAGCCGCTACCCCGTGGTGGCTGTCTACAGTTGAGGAAGTATGACAAAATTCTCTGACCTATGCCCAGGAAGCTCACTGATTTTTTTTTTTTTTAGGGGGAAGCCTTTCTTTATCAGTAAGCTTGTTATGGTCACTGTCTGTGGCTTAGGCGTTGCGAACGCGTTTCGTAATGCAGGATGGCCAGGTTCAATCCCAGCTGCGGACGGTTGTCTTGCGTTGGTTTTGATAGTGGTACCGAGAGCTGACCATTCATGATGCGATGGCAAACTACTGAGTGTAAAAATGTGCTTCGAAAAACCACTACAGCCGAAAAATGCTGGGGTTTGCTCTGCAACGTCCTGTAAATCTTTCTTCCTTTTTTTCTTCACTAGCTGTAAACTTATGTGTGCATCCGTTTTACAAATCTGACTCAATTGTATGCAGACTGCTGGTTCCTTGCCTCTCAGGCAGATGCACTCCGACTTTGAAAGAAGCTACCAATCAGTCGACTCTTACGACATGCTTTTGGGTAGGCAGTGGGTCTATCCTTGTTTTCCCTTTAATAGGGCCCCGGAACCCACATGGGGAGTCCTGTAAATGTTACCCAACTAACTTGTTATGGTAGTGCTCAGTAAAGCTTTAGTCAAAATATTTGACTGCGCCTGTGCATGTCATCTTTACTCCCACTTACTCCCAAAGGGTGTTGATCACATCTTTTCTTCTTTTTCTCCACATTCACTGGTTGTAAACTCAAGCGGAAAGTTCTGGTTTTTCGTATACCTTTAGACTTTAGTCTTGTTCCAGAACCTGAATGTTGCATGCACATTCGTTTTACAGACCTGACTTATTTATATACAGATTGGTGGTTCCTTGTCTCTCAGGCAGATACGTGACTTATTTATATGCAGATTGGTGGTTCCTTGTCTCTCAGGCAAATGCTTTGAAGGAAGCCCTCTCTTACAACATGCTTACTGGGGAGGCAGTAGGTCTATTCTGTTTTCCCCATAAAAGGGCACAGGACTCCACATGGGAAACATCTACCTTGTCATTCATCAGGTAACCACCAAGTGGGGTAGAAGCCGCCAATTTGTCTGCTTGTTCATTTTCCAGCACACCAGCGGCCCAGGTCAAAAAATCAAAAGTGCGCTTCCTACCTGCTACTTTTGGGTGGATGCTGGCCATTCTGAACACAGCATGTCAGTTTCAATCTTTTGTAGCATGTGAGTCTGTTATGATCACATTTGTGAGCAGATGGTTCTCAGACCAGCAAAATGCTGCAGTGGTTATTAACTGTACTTCCATTTATTACACATAATGTTCCATTTAATGAGATTTTAAAGCCGAAAGAAGGTAAGGGCATTTCTCTGAATAACGGCCCTAAATTATCTAGCTCAAAATCCTTATCTTACAGGGCCACGATGATGTGTAAAATTAGGATGGATTTATTTCTGGCAGATATGGCAGGCAGACCATCAGCTCTGACACAGATTAGCAATAATGTTCTACTAACTGATAAACGATGTCATTACTTTCAAGTTTGGACTGTTGTGACAGATTCTTATGGCGGTTTTAAGGTTCAGTTAGGGCTAACCATAACCCTAACATCCAAACAATTGAAGGGTTATAGATGCAACTCAAACGGAAGCAATATTGAGGCCCTGTAAGGGTAGGATTTTTTTAGCTAGATAATTTGGTGCCGATTTGGGGAGGAGTGCCTAATGAAGAGTGAATTGTGAAGTCAAAGCAAAATACATCCCCAAAGAAGAAAATTCGTCCATTATTAGCTAATATAGGCTCGACCTCCCTTTTCATCATCAGCATAAGATATTGTTGTTTTTTTTTAAATCTGACATGGTTAACGGTCACCATATGCATGACTGAAAGGAACTTCAGTTTTGAACAACCCTATTTTCAGACAATTCAGTTTTTGGACTAATATTGCAGGAGAAATAAATTTTAGTTTGCTGGCATCCAGTAAACAGTATCTTTGTATTTCTTTATACATGAGTATTAAATAAGCCACAGTGAAAAAAAAAAAGGGGGGGGGGTGGAAGAAGAATAGTGCTAGCAGGAAAGTGAACAGTATAACATAGAAAGAACCACAGTAAAGGTGCAAAAATCAAAATAAAATTGTTAAATGGCGCTGTGTCTCAGATGTTATGGAGTCTGCTGTGGTAAAATCAACAACCTGTGCTTGCTTAAAAAACTAAAAGGTTATCGTGCAAATGGGAGTCGCCAGAGCTCAGTGGCTAGGTGCTTCTATTCCAGTCTGAATGTGTTTAGTTCTTTTCCTACTTCTTCTTCTTCACACTAATCAGCTGGAAACCTCTGCAAAAGTTCTGGTTGTTCGTCCACTTCCGGACTTTAGTCCTTTTCTAGAACTTGAGTTTTGCATGCACATCCATTTTACAGATCGAACTTGTTTGTTTGCAGACTGTTGGTTGCTCAGACAGATGCATTCCGACTTAGAAGGAAATACCTCAAATTAGTTGCCTTTTACAACATGCTTGTTACAGTGGGTCTATTAATTTGTAAAGATAACATGGGATACTCTACAATAGTATGATGCGACTCTGGTCGAGATAGCCAGAATGTAAGAAATAAAACCTATATCTTTCTTGACATCTAAAGCTCTAAAAGATGATAAAAATCATATGCCTATGAAATGAACACTCAGCTTTCAAACGTAAGTTAAATGGCTTAACTATTTCGCCACAGAGACCCACTGTCTAGTAAAAACAGACATTTGTCATCATCAAGTGCCTTGCCCACTGGTGTGGACAATCATGTCTCTCCATAATCCACAACTGCATGTATCAGTTCGTGTGCTGACACCTCCCCATACCACAACAGAAGGCTGTCAAGAATCTTCTCTCGCTGTCTTCCTCTGTCTCTCTTTCCAGAGATCTTTCCAGTGGTAACAACGTTCCAGTTTCCCTCTTCTCATAACATGACCCAAAAATTATGACTGTCTCTTTCTGATATTTGTAATAAGTTGTCTTTGAGCACCTATCTACCACCGCCGTAGCTATCAATACTTGTGGTTCTTTCTGACTTGTCGCTATCAAGATGGTATCATCAGCATTATGCAGGTCGTTTATGTTATGACCACCAACATCAATTCCTGGCATATTCATGATAGATCTCATGAAACATTCACTGTAAAATGAAAACAGATCAGGTGACAGTACACATCCTTGTCATACTCCCCTCTTTATGCTCTGAAATGTTCCTAGATGGTTATTAATTCATTAAAAACAGACATTACATGTGTCATTTTATTTAAGTGGGATATTTTATTTCATTATATATTTTTTAATTGCAGGACAAACAACGAGCGATCTTCCACGAAGAAAATAAATAAACATTTGATCCTTTAAAAAAAAAGTTGATTAACAAGAAACAAAAACAAGAAAAAGTCTCAATATAATGTTGCCTACCTTTATTAGTTCTGAAATAGAAAAATAGTGTTCCATTCAGTAGAACAATAGTGATTATTTCAATCATGTATGAAAAATTAAAACAGCAATAGAGCAGATGCATGCCTATGAGAAAAACACATATTTTTGTCTCTGCTGACCTCCCTATCTGTCAGTCTGTCGCTTTCTCTTTCACTCTCTCTCAAACCCGCACCCCACCTTAGAAACATGCATTATGTGAGAAAATAACAGTGTCAGTTTCTCTTTCTCAGTGTCACTCTTTGTCGGTCTATCTGTCTCTCTTTTCTCTGCACACAAAATGTGTAGAAAACTATTGAAGTACAGTAGAACCTCGCTTAATGAGCACCTCTCATAACGAGTAATTCGCATAACAAGCAAAACAACTTGTAAAAAAAATGACTTGCTTAACGAGCGACGTTTTGTATAACGAGTGGCGAGGAGAGGGGAAGTCCCGGATTGTGCACATGTTACATCAGTCTGTGTTTAGCACTCATTTCAGTAGCATCGTAATGTCGCTTGTGATCACACATTTTCTCAAACTTGTGTTATATTGTGATATATGTACATGAATCCTACAAGATGACTTCTCTAAAGAATTTAAGTTCATTAAGATCCAGTTTCTGCCTGCCAACACCACTCCGTTTCTCCCGCCCATGGAGCCGCAAGTTTTTTCTAACTTTAAGAAGCTCTAAACTAAAACAGTCTTTGAGCATTGTTTTCAGGTAACTGAAGGAACCAACCTCACTCTCAAAGAGTTTTGGAAAAATCACTTCCACATCATTGCCTGCCTCAAGATGATCGACAAGGCGGGGGAAGGGGTTACCAAGAGAACCCTAACTTCTGCTTGGAAGAAGCTTTGGCCTGAGATCGTTGTCGATTTGTGACTGAGGGGTTCTAGACAGTACCTGTGGAACCTGTGTCTTTGGCCACTATCATGGGATTGAAGATGGATAACAGTGATATCGAAGAGCTTGTGGAAGAGCACAGCCAAGAGCTGACCACCCAAGAGCTTATGGAGTTGCATTGTGTTTCACAGCAAGAAGTTTTGGAGGAAAGTTTGTCAGAGGAGGAGGTAACAGAAAAGCAACAATCTTCTGGCGAAATAAGAGAATTGCTGAAAGCATAGTAAAAAAAAATTATTAGCTATCTATCATAATTATTTCCACATTTTTTTTTCTGCAAATCGAATTCGCATTCTAGGTAGGTTTGTTCCGCGTTTGAAGAAAAGATGAAGATGATTCACTCTCCTTAACAATATGTATATAATTTTCTTTGAATAAACGTTATACATAGCATTGTGTGAGTATTTTTTCGACATGGAACGCATTATCGTATTTTACATTAATTTATATGAGAAAAATTGTTTCGCATAACGAGTGTTTCACTTAACGAGTATGATTCTGGAACGAATTATGCTCGTTAAGCGAGGTTCCACTGTACTCTTATATTCTAAAAAAAATAAAGACCGTTTTATATTAAATCTTTGAGTCCCAGAGGGTTTAGCATCACAGGCCCAAGCGGTTGTCAAAAGAGACGTAAAATCTGCGAATTATGCGTTTACTGAGCTTCCTTGGAACTTGTACAGTTTAAGTGAGGAAAAAGCTGCAGCGCAACAACCAGAGGCCTCTTATGATGAAAAGAGAACCTAGAAAGTACTCTACCACATGAATAAATTGTCTGTCAAATTTTTTTAATACACCTTCTCCACAACTTATGAATGTCTGCACTTAACGCCCAAAAAAAAGTAAGAGTCAACAAGTTTCTGGAACTGTTGCAATTTTGCAAATTACGTTTAATAATTAAACATACATAGACTGAATGTGTGTGTTTTATTAACAATTTTTACAACTCGTTTGAATGAAAGTAGTGTTGAAATATAAATTAGGCTTACAATTTTTTTTAAGAACGGAACTCTGTCATAAGTCAAATAGACCATATAGTAAGAATTCCAATAAGAGCAAAGATACTGAAGGTCACGGGTTCGAATCTGCACCGAGGTGAATTTTATTCTTTTTTAAAAATGAATTTGGTTCCCAGGTTGACCTAGCCTAAAAGAGTACCAGGTAAGGTCCTGGGAAGTAAAGGCAGCTGATATAGTGTAGACCAGATCTCCTATCTAGTGCTGATTGTTCTGATTTACTGATTTAAGAATCAACATCATAGACACCAGGCATACCCATAGATGCTCTGTCTCCCGCAGCAAATGATGTAAGGCATAGATGCTAACTGTTCCCGTAGCACACTGATTATGCACATGCGGATCTCTTCATCTCATCCGTCCCTCCTTGCTGAATTCACACTTAATTCCTCGTTTACACATTCTTGCCCATGTTATTTCATCTAATCTCGTGTCTTCTGCCAAAAGTCATTCATACAGAGTCTTCAGAATATCTCCCTTGTCCAATATGAGCTTTCGCTTTTGTAGCCAAAAAATCCGCTTTTTCATTCCCTTGCACTCCTGCATATCCCGGACAGTATATCCACGTGATTCCCTGCACTGTTGTTGCACTGATGCATGGTATCCACTCATGCCACTTTAGTCCATTTTGAACCTTCCGCAATGTCGACTGAGAATCAGACACAATATGTCCTTTGGTAACTTTGTTTTCTGCTATCCACTTCAGAGCTGCAGTGATTGCTTCCACTTCCATTCGCATGCTTGAAGTTGTAGATAAAAACGCTCCAATTTGTTCTGTCACAATATTTCCCTTCATTCTAGCTGAAAATTCTCAGCCAGATCTTACACTCCGATGAACAGAACCATCAGTGTATACACTACTGCATCATCTAGTCCAGCCTTTCCATCTGTCAGTTGCTGTACCTCTAATTGTGCCATACCGTTACACCACTCTCTACATTCTCTTCTTAACGTAATAATGGCCTGATCCAGCGATAGTTTGTTATTAACTGTGGAACCCAGATAGGTAAAATGGTCAACTGTCTCCAGCTATTCACCATAAATGTAGACTGCAGGTTTATTGTTAAAACCTTGCAACATAACCTTTGTCTTTCTTTTTGCTAATTGTTAGTTCAAATTCATAGCATGCATCAGCAAATGCAGACAGTAAATATTGCAGCTCCTCCTCTGAGTGGGTGGTTATTGCTGCATCATCTGCAAACATCAGCTCTCTGATAAGTATCTTTCTTATATGGTTTTGGCCATAAGCCTACAAGCATTGTAAAGGCTGCCATTAGATCTAGAATGGATGAATATACAACCCTCCTGACCTAGAAAGGCATGTCCTGAAAGAAGTGAGAAGTATACTCCAAAGAGGGCAGGAGCAAGTACATATACCTGCTCTACTCCGTTGTTGATTACACACTACTCCGATGTTACACCATCAAAGTTTATTGTACCATTCATACCTGTGTGGAACGGCTCAGTAATGCTCAGTAGGGAAGGTGGACACCCAGTCTTTTCCAGTGTGTTGAACAGAACTTTTCGACTAACCAAATCAAATGATTTGGTAAGATCAATAAAAGCAACATACAGTTGTTGACTGTGTTCAATGCATTCTTCCTGCAGTTGTTGTAATGAGAATTTCATATCAGTTGTAGACTGGTTCCCATGAAAGTCACACTGTGATGAATAAACCTGGTCTCCAAGGAACTGGAGTTTTCACAAAACAATTCTTACAAGTACTTTTCTAACAGTACACAGCAGTGATATTCCATTGTAGTTATCGAAGTCACTCCGATCACCCTTGTTCTTGTACTTGGTTATGATGCTTGAGTCTTTGAAGCCTTGCAGAACCTGTCCCTCAGAGTGTTATTAGCTGATGAATGTGTGGGGTTATAATGTCTTTCCCACTCCTGATGATCTCAGTAGGAATTCTATCTCTGCCTGGGGCTTTCCCCGAAGCAAGTTCATCAATAGCATTCCTAACTTCTACAATTGTTGAAAATGCCTCTAGATAGTTTGTTACATGGAAGTGTGTCCAGATATACTGTTACATGTCTTCTCTAATTTAAAAAAAAAAAAAGAAGAAGAAGATATAACATTACATGTTTTCTCTAAGCTGTCATAGAATAAATCCTAAAATCAACTATTTACATTGCTATTTATTAATAAAACTGAACAGAAATAAAAGCAATAATATCTGTTTCATGTTAACCATAAAATGAAACTAGAAAATACATTTAAAAAAATTTTTTTTTGTAATTTCAACAATTCTAATCAATTCTGTCAGAATAGTGGCATTAAAAGGATGACATATTAAGCTGGAAATAGAAAAATTGGAAAAAAAAAAATACGAAACTGTTCAACATATACATACCAGGTTCATCTGAGAAAATACAGCACATGAAAGCGATATTAACAAAAATGACCAAACAAATAACTTGTTTACATAAGTACAGCACTTTTTCAGTCACTGGGGCAAGGGCAATATGATGCCCTTTTATTGATCACTTGGCATTCAATTGGTGATGTGGTCAACATCCTTGTGGCCATCTTGACTTTCCTGGTACCTATGTTAAGCGGTGCTGACTTGGGAGACAGGATCAGTTATACAAAATCTAACTCAATGTGGATTTAAACCAGAGACCTTCAGGCTTGAAGGCAAGCACCTAGCCAGTACATTGTCATGGCTTTATTTCAGAAGAAACCCAGGAAATATTATATTATTTAATCACCAAAGATGACAGAAGTCTCACTTTTATGAATAATCGTGTTATGTAGAATATTCAAAATGAGATTTAGTATTTTCAGTTTAAAATGCACCCTAGTAGACAGAACTGTGGCAATATTGAACAAAACAAGAGATGCTACTTTAAAAGCTGGCCACTATTTGGTATAGATTTTACTGTGTCTACATCTGTGGGAGTGGCAGGCATATCCTTTCCACTACATGACACCTCCCATGTTTGATTCTGTATCCGAAAACAAAACAAAATTAATGCAGGATACTTTTTAATTAAGCCATGTACAGACACAGCTGACATTAATTTGCTACTAGTGCTTTGAGTATTTCTCCACCAACAAAATTTACATCACAATTCTCTGATAGGATGTACAGCATGTATTTTCTGGGGCTACTGCTAAGTGTTACACCATCAAGAAATCATGCATGGATATGCCAGAAATAACAGTTTTACTAAGTGTAAATTTTTTTAAAATGTGCAATGCTATTATTTTTATTTTGGAATGAGAATGAAAATTGAGAATTACCATACATTTTTCCATGCATAAGATGTTATTAACTCAGAAAAAAATTTTCAGTTTAAATTTGGGGATCATCTTAGACACAGAATATGTTTACACTATTTGTGTTTAATTCTAGGCTAAAGAAAATAAAGGTTGTCATAGCATGAGGGGAATCTTACGGACTCAAAAAAAAAATGCTACTTTCTGAGACACCCGTGCATCAATACTTTTTATCCCTGTCTGGGTTCCGGGGCAGAAACAAGAATAGACCAACTGCCTCCAGGACAAGCATGATGTAGGAGTTGACTAACTGGGGGCTTCCTTCAAAGGTGGGGTGCATCTGCCCGGTGTCAAGAAACAACCAACTGCATAAAAATAAGCCAGTAAAATGGTTGCACACGCAAAACTTAGGCTCTGGCACAAAAGTCCAAATGGGTGAACAACCAGGACTTTCCACTGGAGCTTACAGCTGGTGAATAAAGAAGAAGAAGAAGAAGAATACACTTTTAAACAGTAATTGTTTCATATAAGTTTCTTTGCATTATATTTGATTACCAGCTTTTCACTCACCAAGACCAAAATCTAAGTCATCAATTTCCTCCCGCAAATAATCAATAAAATGGTTGATCTCGATGACTCTTGTCCGATTGCGCTGGATCTCTTCCTCCTCATGAATTTTGTCAATCATGTTTTTCAACCATGATCTAATCCTGGTCACAATGTCATCTTCCTTGTTGTCGATTTTGAGCAGGTGAACATCGTGGGATGAAGTTAGTGCACTTAGCACCGTGTCTTTGTCAATCAGCATCTAAAAGATGGATAACAAAATTGATGGGTACAACTTACAGAATCTCTATATATAAAATAAACAATGCAATTTTCTTTAAACAAGACAATGTTAATTAAACATATAAAGATGAAACTGCCAACACAATCATAAACAACACAATTTTTTGGAATAAACAAACAATAGATTTCTCTTCTTCTGTTTCTTCTTCTACTTCTCCATCGGATGAAGTCAGGGTTTTTAGCATAGTGTCTTTGTCAATCAGCAGTTAGAAAAGTACATGATCAAAACTGATGGGTATAACTTACAGAAACTCAACATTTGGGTAGTAGCACCTGTTAAATAAATCTGGTTATCTATTCTAACATGCAATAAAGAATGTTTTGTGTGTGCTCGTACATGCGTGTGTATCCTCTTCTTTAAAGTTATGAACTCTCAGTTATTTTATGTTTACCATCTGTACTGAAACCTTCTTCTGAAAGAGTTACTAATTTATGAGTCGATCAAGTTGGGTCAACCCAGAATAACCATTTTCATAATTTCTCAAATAAAATATTTTCTTATATATCAGCAATATAAGTAGCTTCTTTTTCTCCTACTTCTTAAGATTGCACCCTTGATAGTTACACTGACAGTAATCAGTGCAATGATAGACATGTTCAGTGGTAAGCTGATCATTTTTATTTTAAAAGTTCATATTTAGTTCTGCATAGGTTTGGAACTTTTAAGGCGGTTGCTGCTCGGAATTACATTTTATTGTACGTTTTTTAAAAAACTTATATATAAACAACCATTTTTAAAAAACCATATTAAGAACAGAATATCTGCTTAATAAATGACAACACAAAATCTACACCGTTACCATTCTCAATTCTTCAGTCATATCGTCCTCAAGCTCGTTCTTTGCAACCTTCTCCACTGCAGTACTGACACACTCTATCATCTTCTCATTATGTACATTCTCCAGGTCTCTCAGCTGAGATAGATAAGACTGCACATTTTCCAGGAACACAGCAACTAAGTCTTGCATATTTCGGTCAAAATCCTTGATCACTTCCTGTTGATGAACGGATGCTAATCAGTTAAATACCTCTGTAAGCAGAAGACTGAATTTTTAAAATACAAACAGTTAAAAGGGAAAGGATTGATTTCTTCTCCCTGGATATCCCATAGTGCTCGGTCTCTCTGCAAAATGGCTAGCTGCCTTCTGAGAGCATAACATAAAGCAGGAACTTTGTACTTCCAGTGAAAATCCCCAGGAATCCCCATAAAAACAGCACTCCTGCATTGAACATTTCTTTGAAATGACCTCATGATATTCAAATGATGAGAACTACATGATCTTTTCACATGGAGGCCCCAGTAAAGCACACATTTGTCTCATCATCATTGTGTGTTCTGCTGATAAGCATAGACAGCCATGGATAGCCATCTTATTAACATGACCAGAATTTCAGATCAGGCCTGCGTTCTACAGAGGGGGAGTGAACATTCAGGGGGTGTGTTGCCCAGTGCTATGGTAATATTTAACTCTTTGTTGCCCAAACATGTGGTCAGGTCATCCAAGTATTTACCCTGTTGCCTTGCAGTTGCTTTTCTCCCCATCACTGTTGCTAGTGCAAATGTGCACAGTGCACCATAGAAGGCTCTATCACTAAGACATAATGGAGGGTGACCAAACAAGCAATGGACAAATGGAAAATCAAGAGGAAATAAATAACCAGCATCTACGTAGCACATACGGCTTGCACCCTATGCCTCCTCATTATTGTTTCTCTTCATAACATACCCCAAAATCTTGATTATCTATGTCCTTTTTTTTTTAGATCAGTTTAGCTTTTATCTATATCTTGGAAGTCTGTCTAATTTTATTTGTATGTATCTGAAGAGAGAAAATATTTACAATATAATCATTAAAAGTCTTTTTTAACTAAATCATCAAATGTGTTCTTTTGGATTTAGTGTCTTCTTCTTCATCTGCTTGTGATCCCAGACTTGGAAGACTTGACAGACGTGCAAGTCCTCATGATGAATTCCAGAGAACCCTGTCCAAAAGTAACAAGCATCCTGGGCCAGAGGTGGTTAAGATAATAATTAACTGACACAAAAGTAGTTTTTATTGGTTTTTTTATTTGGTTGCAGAACATATTCATTGCCCACAGCTACCTTCATATGTGCTCCGGTCTCCTTCCATAGATCACAACATCAGTCACTTTCAGCACAGTGATTGGACTTCATAGCACAGTGAGGGTTCCCATATGTGTATACCACAATCACATGTGCAATAAATATTTCTCCCAATTTTTCTAAGCTTACCCTTAAGGCAGTTAGTATGGTGTTTTGTGGTCTACAGTGGTTGGAGTCTTTAAAGCGGTCGGAGCTGACACATATCAGTTTCATAATTGTGCCAGGGAACGCAGGCGTGCGAGGAAATGAGCAAGCTGACTGGCTTGCAGATAAAGCTACGGTGGAGGGAGGACAAGCCAGGGACCAGACTGATATTCTGAATGCTCTACGAAAAGTAAGGTGTTTGCAAGAACCAAGTGATGACTGTGAATATGCAGCCATGACCAGACTGCCAGAACAACATGTTAAGAGGGGTGTGGCCAGACAAGAGCACTATGCAGGAAGCTGAAAAAGAATAAGAAACCAACACGGAACTGGGATTTTGAGCCGCTATGGGCTGTTAGATTTATTAAGAAGGGGATCCGAGCACACATGGACTGAATGTTCCATGTGCAATGAGGATAATCTGTTGAATAACTAACTTACTACTAACTAACTAACTATCTGCATCTTTTAGCTCAACACATCCACTTTCAGCAAGCCCATAGTCAGTTGCCTTTTACAGCATGCTTGTTATGGTGCAGTCAAGTAAAGAAATGGGCATATTGGGCTAGATCTATATTTTATAGACCAATGGTGTGTAATCTGGTCGCATCATGTCAGCCACCTTTACTTCCCAGGACTTTACCTCATACCTATTTCAAGTTGCGTCGACGTGGAAGCCAAGGACATTTCGAAAAAATGGCCGTCTACAATCAGGACCTGAGCCCATGGCCTTCAGATCTGCAGGTAAGCATCTAGCCTCTACACCATGGCGGCACCCTATGGTACAGTAGGTTGATTCTTTCCCCCCACCCCCACCCTTTCCCAAACTTGGGCCCTGGAACCTATATGGAGGTGTACAGGTCAAGAACTATTTCCTTATATGATTATTAGCTTGTCGAGATGTGTTTCCAATCCAGATTTAGATGTGTACATACAAGTTACTGACAGCTAGAGAGATAAACAACACACTAAAAATGAGAATAGGCAAATATTATGTATACTCAGCCCTGCTATATAGTGCATTAACTTGGACAATGAACGAGCAACTATAAAATCAAATTGAGCAGAAGAATAGGAAGAAGAATAGGTCATATTTCATGGAAACAAAAACAATCCAAAACAGAGGTTCTGGAAAGGCTTCAAATGAAAAGAGAATTACTGAAAGAAATAAAAAAAGAGACAACTTAAATACTTTGACCACAATAAAAGACATAATAACTTTTTTTTTAACCACACTGCAGGGAAAGGGCGAAGGCAAGAGAACAAGAGGTGGGCCATGATACAAGTGGGAGGACAACATCAAGAGATGAATGGGCGGCAGTCTTAGAGAGTGTACAACCAGGAAAAGAGACAAAGTGTGTTAGAGATCCATTGCAGCTGGCCTTTACTGTGGAGACGGCGCCTGAATGATCGATACACTAATATTATTATCTTTTAGCATATACACAGCGACTCCTGGTCCAATGTTGCAGAACATTAACAATGAAACATACGAGCTGTTTACCTCAAGTTGTTCCACTAACTGGAGTTCCAGTCCCATTAGCTTATCCCAAAGAGCTGAGATCATGTTGTTGTATTCTATGACTCTGCTTTCTGCTAACTTCATGTCCGTTGTACTTTCTAATTCGTGCAGCAGCTGAAGAGAAATATTTTCATCACTCAAATCATAATTTTCCCCATTTCCCGTTTTCCTTTATTCTCAAACATGAGGTTAGAATCTCAAATTTTATTCATAATTTTCTCCTTACGGTTTCATCTATTTCTAAATATGCCGCTAGAAAATCCTTACACAATTCATAATTTACCTATTTATAATTTCACCTTTTCTCAAACCTGCAGCTAGAAAATCCTTACAAAACTCATAATTTACCAAATTATAATTTCATTTATTATGAAACATGCACTTAGAATATCACTACTCAACTTACTTTTTCAATTTCACCTGTTCAAATCAGCAACAAGCTGGTTTTTAAAAAATTAAAAATGACATTGGCTTCTTGGTCGAACCAACCTAAAATGGGTATGAGGTAAAGTCCTGGGAAGTAAAGGCAGCCAGCAATATGTTAACCATATCACCCATTGACTGCTGATTGGTCTATAAAATATGGGTCTACTTTTATATAAGCGGCGTTTGTGGCTTAAGCGTTGCGAGTCCGACTCGTAATTCCAAAGTGTCGCGATCGAAACCCACTGCTGGCTGTGTGGATTTTTCATGTTTTGGGGTGTCGCAGGTTGACCCAGCCTTAAACGGGTAAAAGGATGTATGTCCTGGGAAAGTAAAGATGACAACACTACCCACCCAGTGCCGATTGGTCTGTAAAAATATGGATGCTCTTCCCATTTGCCTGATGCGCCTAGAGGCGTGAAAAATGATCTTTGCTTACTTTTAGTTCAATATACCCAATAAGCTTCACAGCATAGAAAAGGGTCCTTTATCTTTATTATTTGTTTTCTTAAAGTTGTGAGTAGTTTTTTTTTTATGTTAGCCTAGCCAGCAACATTCTCAGCTTTATAAAATTTTTTATTTTATTTTAATTGTCACATCTCAAAGGATTTAATTAAATCTGAGCAACATGCACACAGAACCTCCGAATGTTTGCATTATTTCAGCAGGCACAGTGTTGAACCCCCTCTCCAGAGATCAGCAGGCAGTGTGATATCCTCCAGATTTATGTCTTTTTTATCAAGAATCTAAACACTAAATACTCTATAGATCATTTTTTTTATGGTTTTCTTAAACCACACTGGCAGTGTTTTCATTATGAAGGAATAACTAAATCAAAACATTAAAAATTAATAAATATAGAGAAAAGGACCTTTTTTCCACCTTCAGGCATATTGGGCATACAGGGCTAGACCTATATATATATTTATATATATAAAGAGAGAAGTTGGCACTAGCTGAGTGATGTGGTCAACATCATGTCCTCAACCTATAATTACCATAACTGTACCTGGTACCTGTTTAAGGCTGGGTCGACCTGGGAGCCAAGCTCATGTTTAAAAAAATATTTTAAAAAAGGCTAAGCTCCATCAGGAACTGAACCCATCACCTCCCAGTCTGCAGTCAAGCGTCAAGTTGCTATACGGCGGTGACTTTCACAAATATAGAGAAAAAGTACATTCATTTACACCTCTAGATTAATTTCTGCTTACAATAATCCTTGTGGCAATGCAACCGTTTTTGTTAAATTAGTGTACACAAACATAAGGGACACAGCTCTATATTCTTACTTTATTTTTATCCCTCAAAAATTCTTCAATGGCTTTCATTCCCTGTTCTTTGTTCTCCTGCTTGGCCTCATTTACACAGTCCCAGAACATATTCACCTCGGCTTCTCTCTTCTCATATTCTTGAAGGCCAAAGTCAAATAACTCATGGCACAGGGCTGTAAGCTTCTCTCTGTATGTGTCCAAGGTTAGGGACAACAAATGGCATGTCAATTGTCACTGGTCATGTGACTGTCACTGGTCATGTAACTGTCACTGGTCATGTAACTGTAACTGGTCACGTAACTGTCACTGGTCATGTAACTGTCCTGTCACTAGTCATGTAACTGTCACTGGTCATGTGACTGTTACTGGTCATGTAACTGTCACTAGTCATGTAACTGTCACTGGTCATGTAACTGTCACTAGTCATGTAACTGTCACTGGTCATGTAACTGTCACTAGTCATGTAACTGTCACTGGTCATGTAACTGTCACTAGTCATGTAACTGTCACTGGTCATGTAACTGTCACTAGTCATGTAACTGTCACTAGTCATGTTACTGTCACTAGTCATGTAACTGTCACTGGTCATGTGACTGTTACTGGTCATGTAACTGTCACTAGTCATGTAACTGTCACTAGTCATGTAACTGTCACTAGTCATGTAACTGTCACTGGTCATGTGACTGTTACTGGTCATGTAACTGTCACTAGTCATGTTACTGTCACTAGTCATGTTACTGTCACTAGTCATGTAACTGTCACTGGTCATGTGACTGTTACTGGTCATGTAACTGTCACTAGTCATGTTACTGTCACTAGTCATGTAACTGTCACTGGTCATGTGACTGTTACTGGTCAAGTAACTGTCACTAGTCATGTAACTGTCACTAGTCATGTAACTGTCACTAGTCATGTAACTGTCACTGGTCATGTGACTGTTACTGGTCATGTAACTGTCACTAGTCATGTAACTGTCACTGGTCATGTAACTGTAACTGTCACTAGTAGTCATGTAACTGTCACTAGTCATGTAACTGTCACTGTCATGTAACTGTCATGTCATGTAACTGTCACTAGTCATGTAACTGTCACTAGTCATGTAACTGTCACTAGTCATGTAACTGTCACTAGTCATGTAACTGTCACTAGTCATGTAACTGTCACTAGTCATGTAACTGTCACTAGTCATGTTACTAGTCATGTTACTGTCACTAGTCATGTAACTGTCACTAGTCATGTAACTGTCACTAGTCATGTAACTGTCACTAGTCATGTAACTGTCACTAGTCATGTAACTGTCACTAGTCATGTAACTGTCACTAGTCATGTAACTGTCACTAGTCATGTAACTGTCACTAGTCATGTAACTGTCACTAGTCATGTAACTGTCACTAGTCATGTAACTGTCACTAGTCATGTAACTGTCACTAGTCATGTAACTGTCACACTAGTCATGTCACTACTGTCATGTCACTGTCACTAGTCATGTAACTGTCACTAGTCATGTAACTGTCACTAGTCATGTAACTGTCACTAGTCATGTAACTGTCACTAGTCATGTAACTGTCACTAGTCATGTAACTGTCACTAGTCATGTAACTGTCACTAGTCATGTAACTGTCACTAGTCATGTAACTGTCATGTAACTGTCACTAGTCATGTAACTGTCCCTAGTCATGTAACTGTCACTAGTCATATAACTGTCACTGGTCATGTAACTGTCACTAGTCATGTAACTGTCACTGGTCATGTAACTAGTCATGTAACTGTACACTGTCACTGTCATGTCATGTAACTGTCACTGTCACTAGTCATGTAACTGTCACTAGTCATATAACTGTCACTGGTCATGTAACTGTCACTAGTCATGTAACTGTCACTGGTCATGTAACTGTCACTGGTCATGTAGTTGTCACTGGCCATGTAACTGTCACTGGTCATGTAACTGTAACTAGTCATGTAACTGTCACTAGTCAAGTAACTGTCACTGGTCATGTAACTGTCACTAGTCATGTAACTGTCACTAGTCATGTAACTGTCACTGGTCATGTAACTGTCACTAGTCATGTAACTGTCACTGGTCATGTAACTGTCACTAGTCATGTAACTGTCACTAGTCATGTAACTGTCACTAGCCATGTAACTGTCACTGGTCATCACTAGTCATGTAACTGTCACTGGTCATGTAACTGTCACTGTCATGTAACTGTCACTAGTCATGTAACTGTCACTGGTCACTGTCACTGGTCATGTAACTGTCACTGGTCATGTAACTGTCACTGGTCATGTAACTGTCACTGGTCATGTAACTGTCACTGTCATGTAACTGTCACTAGTCATGTAACTGTCACTAGTCATGTAACTGTCACTGGTCATGTAACTGTCACTGGTCATGTAACTGTCACTGGTCATGTAACTGTCACTCACTCATGTAACTGTCACTGGTCATGTAACTGTCACTGTCTAACTGTCACTAGTCATGTAACTGTCACTGGTCATGTAACTGTCACTAGTCATGTAACTGTCACAGTCATGTAACTGTCACTGGTAACTGTCACTGGTCATGTAACTGTCACTAGTCATGTAACTGTCACTAGTCATGTAACTGTCATGTAACTGTCTGGTCATGTAACTGTCACTAGTCATGTAACTGTCACTGGTCATGTAACTGGTCTGTCACTAGTCATGTAACTGTCACTAGTCATGTAACTGTCACTAGTCTAACTGTCATGTAACTGTCACTTGTCATGTAACTGGTCACTGGTCATGTAACTGTCACTGGTCATGTAACTGTCACTAGTCATGTAACTGTCACTGGTCATGTAACTGTCACTGGTCATGTACTGTCACTGGTCATGTAACTGTCACTGGTCATGTAACTGTCACTGGTCATGTCACTGTCACTGTCTGGTCATGTCAACTGTCACTGGTCATGTCACTGTCACTGTAACTGTCACTGGTCATGTAACTGTCACTGGTCATGTAACTGTCACTGTAACTGTCATGTAGTTGTCACTGGTCTGTCACTGTCACTGGTCATGTAACTGTCACTGGTCATGTAACTGTCACTGGTCATGTAACTGTCACTGGTCAACTGTCACTGGTCATGTGTCACTGGTCATGTAACTGTCACTGGTCATGTAACTGTCACTAGTCATGTAACTGTCACTAGTCATGTAACTGTCACTGGTCATGTTACTGTCACTGGTCATGTAACTGTCACTGGTCATGTAACTGTCACTGGTCATGTAACTGTCACTGGTCATGTAACTGTCACTGGTCATGTAACTGTCACTGGTCATGTAACTGTCACTGGTCATGTAACTGTCACTGGTCATGTAACTGTCACTGGTCATGTAACTGTCACTGGTCATGTAACTGTCATGTCATGTAACTGTCACTGTCATGTACTAGTCATGTAACTGTCACATGTAACTGTCACTGGTCATGTGTAACTGTCACTGGTCATGTAACTGTCACTGTCATGTAACTGTCACTGGTCATGTACTGTCACTGGTCATGTAACTGTCACTGGTCATGTAACTGTCACTGGTCATGTAACTGTCACTGGTCATGTAACTGTCACTGGTCTGTAACTGTCACTGTATGTAACTGTCACTGGTCATGTAACTGTCACTGTCACTGTATGTAACTGTCACTGTAGTCATGTAACTGTCACTGGTCATGTAACTGTCACTAGTCATGTAACTGTCACTGGTCATGTAACTGTCACTGTCATGTAACTGTCACTGGTCATGTCAACTGTCACTAGTCATGTAACTGTCATGTCAACTGTCACTGGTCATGTAACTGTCACTGGTCATGTAACTGTCACTGGTCATGTAACTGTCACTGGTCATGTAACTGTCACTGGTCATGTAACTGTCACTGGTCATGTAACTGTCACTGGTCATGTAACTGTCACTGGTCATGTAACTGTCACTGGTCATGTACTGTCACTGGTCATGTAACTGTCATGTAACTGTCACTGGTCATGTAACTGTCACTGGTCACTGTCACTGGTCATGTAACTGTCACTGGTCATGTAACTGTCACTGGTCATGTAACTGTCACTGGTCATGTAACTGTCACTGGTCATGTAACTGTCACTGTCACTGGTCATGTCATGTAACTGTCACTAGTCATGTAACTGTCACTAGTCATGTAACTGTCACTGGTCATGTAACTGTCACTGGTCATGTAACTGTCACTGGTCATGTAACTGTCACTGGTCATGTAACTGTCACTGGTCATGTAACTGTCACTAGTCATGTAACTGTCACTGGTCATGTAACTGTCACTGGTCAACTGTCACTGGTCATGTAACTGTCACTGGTCATGTAACTGTCACTAGTCATGTAGTTGTCACTAGTCATGTAACTGTCACTGGTCATGTTACTGTCACTGGTCATGTAGTTGTCACTGGTCATGTAACTGTCACTGGTCATGTAACTGTCACTGGTCATGTAACTGTCACTGGTCATGTAACTGGTCATATAACTGTCACTAGTCATGTAACTGTCACTAGTCATGTTACTGTCACTAGTCATGTAACTGTCACTAGTCATGTAGTTGTCACTAGTCATGTAACTGTCACTAGTCATGTAACTGTCACTAGTCATGTAACTGTCACTAGTCATGTAACTGTCACTGGTCATGTAACTGTCACTGGTCATGTAACTGTCACTAGTCATGTAACTGTCACTAGTCATGTAACTGTCACTGGTCATGTAACTGTCACTGGTCATGTAACTGTCACTAGTCATGTAACTGTCACTAGTCATGTAACTGTCACTAGTCATGTAACTGTCACTGGTCATGTAACTGTCACTGGTCATGTAACTGTCACTAGTCATGTAACTGTCACATGTAACTGTCACTGTAACTGTCACTGGTCATGTAACTGTCACTAGTCATGTAACTGTCACTAGTCATGTAACTGTCACTGGTCATGTAACTGTCACTAGTCATGTAACTGTCACTAGTCATGTAACTGTCACTGGTCATGTAACTGTCACTGGTCATGTAACTGTCACTGGTCATGTAACTGTCACTGGTCATGTAACTGTCACTGGTCATGTAACTGTCACTGGTCATGTAGTTGTCACTGGTCATGTAACTGTCACTGGTCATGTAACTGTCACTGGTCATGTTACTGTCACTGGTCATGTAACTGTCACTGGTCATGTAACTGTCACTGGTCATGTTACTGTCACTGGTCATGTAACTGTCACTGGTCATGTAACTGTCACTGGTCATGTAACTGTCACTGGTCATGTAGTTGTCACTGGTCATGTAACTGTCACTGGTCATGTAACTGTCACTAGTCATGTAACTGTCACTAGTCATGTAACTGTCACACATGTAGTCACTGTAACTGTCACTGGTCTGGTCATGTAACTGTCACTGGTCATGTAACTGTCACTAGTCATGTACTGTCACTGGTCATGTAACTGTCACTGGTCATGTAACTGTCACTGGTCATGTAACTGTCACTGGTCATGTAACTGTCACTGGTCATGTAACTGTCACTAGTCATGTAACTGTCACTAGTCATGTACTGTCACTAGTCATGTAACTGTCACTGGTCATGTTACTGTCACTAGTCATGTAACTGTCACTGGTCATGTAACTGTCACTGTAACTGTCACTGGTCATGTAACTGTCACTAGTCATGTAACTGTCACTAGTCATGTAACTGTCACTATGTAACTGTCACTAGTCATGTTACTGTCACTAGTCATGTAACTGTCACTAGTCATGTAGTTGTCACTAGTCATGTAACTGTCACTAGTCATGTAACTGTCACTAGTCATGTAACTGTCACTAGTCATGTAACTGTCACTAGTCATGTAACTGTCACTAGTCATGTAACTGTCACTAGTCATGTAACTGTCACTAGTCATGTAGTTGTCACTAGTCATGTAACTGTCACTAGTCATGTAACTGTCACTAGTCATGTAACTGTCACATGTACTGTCATGTAACTGTCACTAGTCATGTAACTGTCACTAGTCATGTAACTGTCACTAGTCATGTAGTTGTCACTAGTCATGTAGTTGTCACTAGTCATGTAACTGTCACTAGTCATGTAACTGTCACTAGTCATGTAGTTGTCACTAGTCATGTAACTGTCACTAGTCTACTGTCACTGTCAACTGTCACTAGTCATGTAACTGTCACTGGTCATGTAACTGTCACTGGTCATGTACTGTCACTGTCATGTAACTGTCACTAGTCATGTAACTGTCACTGGTCATGTAACTGTCACTAGTCATGTAACTGTCACTGGTCATGTAACTGTCACTAGTCATGTAAACTGTCACTACTGTCACATAGTCATGTTACTGTCACTGTCACTAGTCATGTAAAGTCTGTCACTGTCACTGGTCATGTAACTGTCACTGGTCATGTCACTGTCACTGTCACTAGTCATGTAACTGTCATGTAACTGTCACTGGTCATGTAACTGTCACTAGTCATGTAACTGTCACTAGTCATGTAACTGTCACTGTCATGTAACTGTCACTAGTCATGTAACTGTCACTAGTCATGTAACTGTCACTAACTGTCATGTAACTGTCACTGGTCATGTAACTGTCACTGGGTCATGTAACTGTCACTGTCATGTAACTGTCACTGTCACTGGTCATGTAACTGTCACTGGTCATGTAACTGTCACTGGTCATGTAACTGTCATGGTCATGTAACTGTCACTGGTCATGTACTGTCACTGTCATGTAACTGTCACTGGTCATGTAACTGTCACTGGTCATGTAACTGTCACTGGTCATGTAACTGTCACTGGTCATGTAACTGTCACTGGTCATGTAACTGTCACTGGTCATGTAACTGTCACTGGTCATGTTACTGTCACTGGTCATGTAACTGTCACTGGTCATGTAACTGTCACTAGTCATGTAACTGTCACTAGTCATGTAACTGTCACTGGTCACTGTACTGGGGTCATGTAACTGTCACTGGTCATGTAACTGTCACTGGTCATGTAACTGTCACTGGTCACTGTCACTGTCATGTAGTTTTGTCACTGGTCATGTAACTGTCACTGGTCATGTACTGTCACTGGTCACTGTCACTAGTCATGTAACTGTCACTAGTCATGTAACTGTCACTAGTCATGTAACTGTCCCTATCTTTGGTAACTCTATCATAAAGGATATACAATGAGCATTTCATATACACCAGAAATCTGGTTTAGCTTGTTTCCTTCAGGATCATCAGCATACATATCCAAAAACAGCTGATCTGTGTTCAAGTATTCCACATATGCATTCTAAAGTAGATGGAAACAATATGCATTCTAAATTAGATGGAAACAATATGCATTCTAACATAGATGGAAACAATATGCATTCTAAAGTAGATGGAAACAATATGCATTTTAACGTAAATGGAAACAATATGCATTCGAAAGTAGTTGGAAACAATATGCATTCTAAAATAGATGGAAACAATATGCATTCTAAAGTAGATGGAAACATTTTGCATTCTAAAGTAGATGGAAACAATATAAAATTCATCATTAGACACCCCCCCCCCACCCCTTGTGCGTTACCATAGCATGCTACTTTGAGCTACAGAACACAGACCTCAACCAAGACTGTGGTCATCATGTGAAACCTTTCACCAAGACCACCAAACAAAAGCTGTATAACAAAAAATGATAATGATGTCCTCCAAAAAAAAAATGTTCAATTTCTTGAAAAGTCAGAAATGGTAGAAGTAAACATTTAGCTATGTACCCTTTACAGGACTTGAGGCAAATTGTGGGAGCAACACTTTGTACTAGATTCATCAAGAAACAGCAGATCAAGTGGTAAGACCATCTCGTTAGAATGCAGCAAGGTCAAATACCATCACAAGCATTACATCTCAGAAGATCAGCAACAAGAGCAAGATGACGACCGCAGAAACTATGGACTGAGAACATTAAAGACACACATGACAACAGCCAGCGTGCACTGGATTGCAAATTATCCACCCCCCCCCCCCCCCCCATCCCCACAGCGCTTAATGGCAGAAGTGGTTTATGAGGATGATGATGATGACAGGACTGCAGGTGGACAGGCACATCTGAGAAGAGGATATGCAATCTGAAAAAAAAACTAATGTTATGACAGAGCAAACCAGGCCTTTAAGCCTTGGCTGGCAGCTGGTCTAGGAGTGAGATTCCCACAGCTGGACAGAGCACTGCTTTTCTGATCCAGCAGCCTTATTAAGTTCACTTTTGTTTATTTGTCTGGTAAAATTTTTTTAGTGCAAGCAAGATGAAAAATTTTGTTACTTAAACCCTTTCAGCTAAACACAGACATTACTGGAACTCTACATTTTTTTTTAAAGCAATGGCTGTTTTTGGATATTATAAGATAAAGAGATAAGTGATTGATAATGAAAGGATTAACTACTTCACCATGGAGACTTTCATTAATTTTTTTAAACCAAACAAAAAAGATAATGTTTCACAGGAAGTCTCACCCTGTGTAACTGCATCTCTTCTTCTCGTTGTTTATTTAAAGTTTCTGTCGACCCTGCTTTATGATCTTTCTCTGCCTGCTCTTCTATTTGATTCTGAAATCTGTCAAATGCTTGTGCTTTCTGTTCAGATAATAGTAAAATGGTAGATTTTACTGTTGTATTTCAATAAATATCCGGTGCAATCATAGCATAGTAAACTGTGTACACAAGGGAGTTGTGTGGCTTCAGACCATGATATCTGCAACAATGAACCTCAGTGGTTTGAAATACTGAAGAAGAAGAAGAAGAAGAAGAAGAAGAAGAAGAAGAAGAAGAAGAAGAAGAAGAAGAAGAAGAAGAAGAAGAAGAAGAAGAAGAAGAAGAAGAAGAAGAAGAAGAAGAAGAAGAAGAAGAAGAAGAAGAAGAAGAAGAAGAAGAAGAATCATGACACAGTGGCTAGATGCTTGACTGTTGGCTCAAAAGTATGGGGTTCAAGTCTGCACTGAAACAGATTTTTTTTTATAACTGATATTGGGTTGTAGATCAATTCAACCTTTCAAGGGTACCAGAAAAGTCTTAGGAAGTTAAAGCAGCCGGCACGTTGTAGAAAACCTCACCCACAGAGTGGCAACTGGTTTATACAAATATGGGTCTAGTTCTGTGAAAGTGATCCTGTAGTTTGATCTATGGATGGAATATGTAATACCTGTACACAGTACCAGCTATTGTCTAGACAAACTTTTCAGCACTACAGTCAAAGAAGCTTTGTGGTGAGTACAAACTCTCTTTTTTAAACAGTTTGTGATGAGTACTGGGCCTTTCTTTCTAGAAAAAAAGAGTCCTATAATTCTAAATAGATAACAAAAAGAAAATATGCTATTCTTGGTAGGCTGGTTGGTTAAACCACTAATTGCATGATTAGTAGTAACACAGTAAAACTTAATTAACTCTTTCGATACGAAAGTAACCGCTATGTGTGTACTGTTAACTTGAGTAACATACAACTTTTCATTGGTTCATTCCAGAGCAGTGTCAAAATGACGTAATCAATTCAGCAATGTCCAACCTGGCCATCACAGACAGCAATATAACTGTTTCTTCTTTCTTCTTCTGTGTTCATCTTTATAAAGGCAGTTAGCATGTTGTATTGTGGTTTAGCATGTTGTATTGTGGTTTAGCATGTTGCACTGGGGTTGACTGCAGTACTAGATATTGGTGCCTTTCAGCCCAGTGCACCCAATTTCAGCGAACCCTTAATTTGCCTTTTATATCTTGCTCATTAGAGAGAGGTAGTGCATACATTTTCCCTCCACTAAAATTGAGTCCCCAGACCCCACACAGGGATATAACTGTTTTATATGGTTGAGCACTGTTTCTGGGGTCTGCTTTTGTTTTATTTGCATCCAAACAGTTCCTCTTTAAGTCACTAGCAATAAATCTGTTGGTCTGTAATCCAAGAGGGACATTTATAAAAAGAAATTAGCAGTAGGAAATTTATAGACAAAACAACCGCTGGAACAGAACATGGTCACTAGCAATGGTACAAGACTGAAGAAGCTGTCTGAGTAACTAGAACAGTGTGTGATATTACACCAACGGTTGAGAATGAAAAGGGTAATTCAGTTGACTAGAACAGTGTGTGATAATATATATGTCAACTGTCTAGGAGAGAAAAGAGTCATTAAGCTGACTAAAACGATGTGTGCAATTTTACCAAATGTCTAGAATGCAAAAGTGTCACTCAGCTGACTAAAACAGTGTGTGATATTATACCAACAGTCTAAAATTAAAAAGTGTTATTCAGCTGACTAGAGCAGTGTGTGATATTATACCAAAAGTCTAGAATTAATGCTTTAAGGCCCGAGCAGCGCTGTGAGCGTCGATTGAGATGTTCCATTTTGCCCAAAACAACGCTGTCAGCACCAATCGTATGTCCGGTACATTTTGCTTCGCAACACGGCCCCGTACTTGTTTCTACCATTAAAGCATTCAGGGCAAGTTACTCTAATGATTTTCTTTTAACAACAATCTGTATCCCAAGAAATAAGTGCATAGACTGATCGGATTCATAGCAAAATTTATTTTCAACAATGCAGTTTCTAAGTTCGCTTCCGAGTGCCATGTTCCAACCACAAGTACAGGTCGCAGAATGCGTCTTTCAGCGACCGTAGCTCTTAAGTTGTTTCAGTGAGATGTTTTTAATTCGGAAAATGAATTTACACCAGTGCAGCTGAGCGATCAGCTGTTGGGAATCTAACGATTCTGGTGAGTTTACACAGACAATGTCCCATTGCTATGTATCTATGATATGAGAAGGAAAGTGCTCAAAACAAACAGACAGTACTATACTGTGGCTAAGCTACACTGAAATCATTGCAGCTACAGTTTATATATAACTGTACAAAGTAAATAGTGTGTGTCATAGCCCATTTTTTCTCTGAAATTTCGCTCAGCACTCTGTGAGAACTAAAAGCCATTGAGTGCTAAACTAATCCAAAAACTTATCATAACTTTTGAATTTGTTAGGAAATTGAACAAACTTTAAAGTATTATTCTCAAATTTGGATAATCACTGCTCCTGTGCCTGCAAAACCATGGTAAGTGGAGAATTTTGTGTGTGTGTGTGTGTGTGTGAAATTGCTGAATACTTCTTTTCTACTAGCTATAACAGTATTAAACATATACTTATCATCATATTCACTACCCCCCCCCCCCCCCCCCCCCCCATAATCCGCATGGACAAACGGAAAGAGGTAAGTCCCAACCAGAGATATTATGGTTACTATTTTCTTGTTGAGAGTATTTCAAAAAGAACAAAACTCCCCAGCTCCAGCAACAACCCCCAGGGATCTCTGAAACAGCTGCACTTGCAAACTGAATGGCAGAATCTGAAATCAAACTTGCTACCTCCATAGCATGAATCAAACGGCTTAGCACTTCCTCCTGAAGATGTCCGCCCAACATGTTTAAACTTCACGTAAACAAGATTACAGATTTTATAGTCTATCACAGAGATCTTTTTTAGTCTTCCTTCAACCTTAACTCTTTGAGTCCCAGGGGATTTAGCATCACAGACCCAGGGGGTAGTAAAGACAGTAATAAAATCGGCGCATCATGCGTTCATTGGGCTTCTAGGTAAAAACCTATGAACGTATGATGCGTTCCTTGGGACTCAAAGAGTTGAAATGGTAGTTGGCAAGCTGTACTGTAGTTTACAGTTAGGATATGATATCTACTCCTTTTAGCCTGATACTTTTGATGTTAGCAAATCCTTAATTGGTCACCTTTTACTGATGGCCTGTTAAAGGGGCAGATCTGTTCTTGTTTTCTTTTTTTGTGTGTGTGCCCAAATGGAGCCTCAAAATGCAAGCGGAGATCTCACAGAGATAAATAGAGGTTGGAACTGGTACTACTAACAGGTCGACTCCCAGTCCAAAATGGAGGACTAGGCACTGTACAATGTTTACCTTCAAATTTATTTTTGCCCTTGACAGCACTTTGCAAATGCAGTTTCTACATATGGACAGAAGTGTACGGTTTCACTGCCTCAGCTACTGAGTTTAGTGCTTGGTGCAGCCATGTGAGCTGTGTTTCTCCTGTGGAATGTCTTTCATTTGGTGAAATACCTTATGTAATAATTCCACCTGTGTATAGTCAACGTAATGTGACCAAGAACTTTTATTAGTGACAAACTGCATTTCTGGAAGACTATGAGCATGTCGACTTGGTTAACTACTGAAGAAGGGGGCAGAGCACGTGTGGGAATGTCTTAAGTGCAGTGATGTTAATTTTTTATTGGCTGACTGATTAATTATTTCAAATGGAGGCAGTATTTATCTGCAGCAATGAACGGCAATGGCTCAGAATTCTGAAAAAAAGAAAAGAAAAAGAAGACAAATAAAGGACACATCAGGCATACAGTACTAGACACATTTTGATAGACCACTGGACTCTATATGGGTGAAAATGTCAGTATCAAGTGTAAATATGTGCACATAATGGGTCTCACCTCTTGCTGGTCTACTAGCCGGTAGTCCAGAAACTCAAGCTCTGGGAGGAAGGCTACCACATACTGCCGAAAACTGGCATCACTATATACTGGATTGTTACTGATAGTTAGACTTCTCAGGTTGCGGAACTTCCGTAAATACAAGATCTGTAACAAATATATCAAAGACATAATTTTCAAACAGAAATATTACCTCTAGAAATAGCTAAGCTGGACTTGCGTTAAAAAAAAAAGAGGTTGACATTTTTCTGCATTTTATTTTGGCAAGCAGATGCACTGTGTACAAGCAATTTTGATAAGCTGGCATTCCCTGTAGCAATATTTTGGCAAGTATTGCCTTCTGTTCCTAGTAATTTTAACGAAGTTGATGTTTTTCTGTATCAATACTTTGACAGGGAGACCCCAGTTCGACCCCGGGAAAGGTGATGGAGTTTTTCTTTAAGTTTTATGGACAAAATTCTAATTAAGTTGACGTTTTTTCTGCACCAATGTTTTTGTAGTCATACTGTTATCAGGAGTGAGTTATTCTGCTAAATGTGTTTTACTGTATCCATATTTTGGCAGCAGACAACTGTTTCTACTAACACCACAGTTTCTGCAGCTGTCTCTACAACTATTTTGCTTCCTGTGTTGCAATCTGAAGAATCTACAATCAACAAAACATTCCATTTTATCTGGCAGCGAATGTAGTTCAGCAACTAGTCAACTTGTCTGTTCATGTGACTGTCATAGATCTTCTTCTTCTTCTGTGCTCACCCTTAACTCTTTGAGTCCCAGAGGGTTTAGCATCACAGCCCCAAGTGGTACTCAAAAGAGACGTAAAATCGGCGCATCATGCGTCCATTGGGCTTCTAGGCAGTAACCTATGAACATATGATGCGTTCCTTGAAACTCTAAGAGTTAAAAGGCAGTTGGCATGTTGCATTGTGAATTACAGTTAGCCTGTGATATCTGTGCCTTTCTGCCCAACACATCAAATTTCATCAAAACCCTAATTAGTCACCTTGTATGACATGCCTGTTACAGATATCAGTAAGCTCAACAAATTACTCTTTGCTGAAGATCAGACCTTGAAAGCAGATTCTGCGATGCAACAGCATCTATGAATGATTGTAAAAATAATAATTGGAAAATCATCACTGGAAAACAGAATAAATGTCAAAAGGAAGAAAGAAGCAGAAATTAACATTAGTTGTAGTAAAGCAAACCAAGTATTAGGACAGCTGCCCCCCCCCCCTCCCCCACCCCACCCCAAATCCCCTACCATGCTAATCTTCTTCTTCTTTCATTTGCTTAAAATAGATTATCTATATCTGCAATGTTGTCTCTAGTATGAACGTCACTGTCTTTTGTAATTCACTCAGTGACCCATAAAGTTTGACTTGCACCGATGTTTCTCTTGGCCAAACGTTTTGCACCATGGAAATGAAATGTCTAAGAAGGGCTGCAGGAGCGACCAGAAGAGATCAAATCAGAAATGAAGTCATTCAAGAAAACAATTGGCATGGAACCCAATTCTAAATTACATATAGACAACAAATGGTTTGCCCACTTAGAGAGAATGCCTTGTGACACAGGGACATAGGACATAGTACAAAGTAGAAGAAGAACAAGATGGAAAAAATACAATAAGAGAAACTCTACAACAGCACAATATGTCCATGGTTGAGATGGTCAGAAGAGTAAGAAGCAGAACTTTATATCTCCCTCGACACCTGAAGCAGTAAAAGAGGAAGTTGAGAAAAGAAAGTTCTGCTACTCACATCTTTCACGTCCTTGATTTCATTATTACCTATGGAGAACACTTGAAGCTTCACCAGGGTGTCCATATTTTCAATTCTGCTGATTCGATTGTTGTACAGGGTTAGGTCTTCTAACTTGGTCAGGGTGTCTAAGCCTTTGATGACCTCAATATTGTTGAAAGAAAGATCTGGAAACGTCAAAGTCACAGTCACATCATTTTATTCAGGAACCATTAAAATTAGGAAGTAACAATAATGTTATTTATTATATGTTAATGCAGTCTTCTTCTTATAATCTGTGCTGTGTGTCATTGGTAGTCATGTGTATCCACAATCTTCTGTATCATGTAATTTCAATTAGTTCTGACACAGACGATCTTTTATGCCATATTGTCAAACTGTCCAGCAGTTTCTCTCTCAGTCTGCCTCTGCCTCTTTAGTCCTCCAACTTTCCCACCATCACAATGTACTCCAGTTTTTTTCCTTATCATGACATGATAAAAACTGTAGTTATTCTCATTCTGATGTTTGCAATCAGTTCTATTCACAAGTCAATTTCTTTCAAGATATATTTAAACCTATTTTTATCTGTCCAATGTGTTCTCATCATTCGTTTATAAAACCATATATCTGCCGCTTGCACATAATTTGTTGACTAATCGGCCAACTGTCCATAATTCACTTCTATATATTAGTATAATATTTATATAGCTCTTGAGAATTCTCTTTCTCATTTCAGTTGACAAAGCAAAATTGAAAAAAAAAATATTCTTCATTTTGTGAAATGCTGCCTTTGCTTGAGTTATTCTACATTTAAATTGCAGCAAAAAGAACTCATTTTTCTTTTACTACTATATTCATCATTTGCTGAAGGTAAAATGTAATAGACAAAAATGAAAAAAAATTATTCTCTATGACAAAGTTTTAACTCTTTTGGCGCCAAGGAACACATCATACATTCATAGGTTCTTACCCAGAAGACAAATAAATGCACACTACGCTGATTTTTAATTTACCACTGGGCAGTTTAAAAACACGAATTCACAACTTTCCAGACTGTTGTGACACATGTATTGGGCACTATGTTCATTTGGAAACATGGTTAGAAGCAGAAAATATAGTATGTTCATGAGTCTTTCCGAGTTATTAAGCGTCTGACTACCCATATACCAAGCCACAGACAGTGAACATATGTACACCGTCACACAAGTACACTTACCCAGCCACACGAGGTGGACAAGTGATTCCAGTCCTTCAATCTGCTCGATGATGTTGTTGTCTAGCTGCAGTTTTGTCAATGATGTAAACTCCCATATGTTGTCTATCTTTAGGATATCTGGTGTTTAAGGTGGAATTACCAGTTTCATGTGTACATACAACACTGTGCCTCAAAAAATAATTCTGTTAAGCGAGTGAGTGTGCTAGCATGTTTGGAAAACTCAGTAAGGTTTAAGTAAAGTAAGGCCACAAGTGCTGGACCGGATTCCATCCATGATATTGAAACAAACTGCGTAAGATAGAATGGAATGATAGAGCAGATTATTATCCCTATGTGAAGTATAATGGTGCAAAAGAATGATCTTTCTATCAACTACGAAGAGCAATTCTTGTGACAGAATGAAGGCATTGGCACATCTGCTGACTGCCTGGTGCATTTGATATGTGTGTGAGCGGCTGGATTTTTCTGGGACTGCTGTCTGTTTGACTGTAAACAAGTGACAGTGATGGACATTTTGGTGTGGTTCTCACTGGCACAGGAATAGAGCAATTATAGCATCACCTGTTTACAACGAAGTTAGAATATTGACTGATAGCCTGACTGAATACCTTTTATAGTGGACCTGACTGAATACAGTGGTACCTCTGAATTCAAACATAATCCACATTAAAATGGCAATCGAATTGAAAATCATCTGAGTTCAAGGCAATTTTCCCCACTGAAAAAAAAAAATGAAAACTAACTTAATCTGTCCCAGGGTCCAGCAAACTCAAATTTTAAGATTTGTTTTCCTAAATACTGTACACTGTAAATATAGTAACACATAATGATCATATTTGAATTAAAACAGAAATAATTTTAAAAAAAAAAAAAAACTGTATTTGCTGTACTAAAATGGTAACACAACACAAAGAAGTAGGTGGAGAAAGGAAGATTTATGGAGATTATTGTTTGAAAGGTGAGTCACCTTCCATGAGAACATCACAAATCCTTTCTGATGTTTCATATCATAGTCGTTCACCACTTGTAGAGGGCTGGGGTTACTCATTTTTGTTAACAGCCAGCGTTACAAAGTGCTCTGGTGTTGGGGGATCATTTTTTTTTTTAATTTCTAAAATGTTTGATAATGTTTTCACTGAATAAGTTAACATACTATTAACTAGGGCTTTATCAAGGTGTCACCTCTCAGTAACTTCTACTACTTGCGTTTTTGACCACATGGTTAAAATATATGGAATTTCAGCATTGCTAATCCTTCCAGCTTTCATATCTTCTTTTGCAGTTTCCTAATTCTTCTGCTGGTGAAGGTGCTGAAGCGTTTACGTTATCAGCTCTGTTGCATGATTGGTACGTGCCAGGCGTTCGGTATTCAAGATGGTAATCAAATTCAAAGGCAAAATTTACTTAAAAATTTCATTCAGATTCCAAGTTGTTTTGAGTTTTGAGGCGTTCAAATTCCAAGGTACCACTGTACCTTCCATAGTGGTTCTAATTCTATGTCCCACCAAATTATAAATTCAGTGTTCATTTCAACCCATAACACCCCTAGAATGCTGGACCTCCCTGGGCACCTCCAAGCTTACTTTTGTTTGGGGTGAATGGAAATTAAAGTACCCTGAGTTTTGCTCGCACATACATTTTACACATCTAACTTTTTGAATGCAGACTGTTAGTTTCTAGCTTCTCAGGCAGATGCATTCTGACTTCGAAGGAAGCACACATAATTGGTCACCATTGTTAGAAGGGGCTGTTAGAACCCATACATGGTCTGTATACAAGATTGAATTGAATGTAGAAAAGACATACTTTTAAAGTCTAGCCTTAGTGACAGAACATCTTCAAACTCTATTCCTTCTTGTTTTGCAATTTTTCCAGCTTCATCTTTTGGCCCTTGTTCTTCAACTGCTTCTTTCAACATCTCCTCATCAATGACTGATGGTTCTACTGTGTCATACAGTCGGCTCATGATGACAGCTGCAAACAGTGACATATCAATTATTGTAATATGTTATTTTCTGTAGACATGGGACTGAGCCTCGAGAGGCAGGGGGTAAGAAGTGTTGGTGTTGTGGGTAGTGGGTTCCCCCCCTTACTTCACCCTAGGTCTAGTGAATATCTGTTCACGAAAGGAGCGTCCATTGTGGTGTCAGCCTCTTGACCTAGCAAAACCTCTCTTACCTCAAGACCATTGTGCGTGGCGAAGAGTAACTGGGGGTGCGAATCCCCAGGCAAAACACAATGGATCTAGAGGAGCAAACCTCGATAATAAACCCGGTGCACCACACCGTACTGCCCCCTGTGGGAGGGAAGAAGCCAGATGTGTGCTGAACAGTCTTAGGAATGGAAACAAGTATGCTAAAACCCCTAAATACCGGAAACTATCGTGAAGGCACAGGGACTCAGGACGTGACGATCCAGTTGCCCCAACTACTCATGCTTAGGCCATGTTTAGAGCCATGAAGAGCTCAGCGAAACCTGCAGGCAATCTGGTGGCGGGGAATGAGCACACTGTGAGCCCCACCTTAGCTACGTGTTAAAAGGGGAAGGCAAAAACACAACCCATATTTCCTTTAGAACTGGTACAGGGCATTTCTAGCTGCTGCCCGGGGAGGTAGGTAATCCACAGACACCCAGCACCACAATGCCATGAATATGTCAAAATTTAAGAATACATACGAGATCGGTCGTCGCCTCGTCTATCAAGGCCCGCGCCAGACAGTGGGAAACCAGGCTGTCATGTGCGAAAAATTGGCTACTGGAAAATTTGAAATAAATAGGGAAAACAGACACCCCAGGAGGAGGAAGAGTGGGAGGGAGAGCAAAAAGAACTCAGACAGCACAGCAAAAAATACACAGATGCTCAATATTCTGCAGCTGAACATCTGTGGAATAAGAAATAAGAAACTTGAACTTGCCAAACTGCTAAACAACCACAGGGTACACGTGGCTGCCCTACAAGAAACCCTGCATAAAGACTCTGATCTGCATCTCACTGGATATACTAGTTATGCCTGTAAGTGCAATGACTGCCGGGGCATAGTGACCTATATCAGAAATGACATACAAGGAGATGTAACAATGCTGTCGACATCTCACCCTACAGATGTGCAAAAAATAACTATCTGGCACAATGGAAGCAAATACACGATATACAACGTGTACAGCCCACCTCAGACAACATGCAACATACCAGAACTATACAAGACACAGTACCATAAAACCCTTCTTGTTGGTGACTTCAACGGACACTCGCCACGTTGGGGTTACCCTGACTACAATAGCACAGGGAAGTACATCGAAGATACTTGTGAAACAACTAACCTATTAGTGCTGCAGGACACAGAGTCTACACCTACACTGTTACACAGGGCCCACCTATCTCTCAGCAGACCAGACCTGACCATCTGCTCATCCGACTTAGCAGACGCAAGCTATCCCCAAGTCCTGGACGACATAGGAAGTGACCACAAACCTATACTCACAACTGTAAGCACCACCCCTAAATTACGCTTCAAGCAGAGAACCCGTTGGAATTTCCGAAAAGCAAACTGGAAACTATTTCAGGAAACATCTGACTGCCTCCTGGGAAGAATTGACAACAGCTGTGTGGAAACTTTTTGTGAAGACATAACACAAGCAATCCTGAATGCAGCGTCGAAAGCCATCCCAAGGGGCAGCCGGAAGGCATATAAACCTTTTTGGAATCAAGAAATTCAAAATACTATATCTGAAAGGAATAAAGCAAGAATATTTCTCGAAACTGCACGTTCAACAGAAGCAAAGATCCAATACAATAAAGCATGTGCCAGAGTAAAGCTTGTAGTTAATAAGGCTAAAAGAGATAAATGGACAGAAACTTGCTCCAACTTAGACCTTAGACAGAATGGAAATAAAGCATGGACTTTAGTTAAAAACCTCTCCGGAGAAAGTAGAAGGGTGAACCCAAAACCAGTGACAGATGGGAGTAAGACAATCACTGAAGACAAGAAGAAAGCAGAACATTTCAATCATTATTTTGCCTCGGTTAACAGAGCAGGTAAGCTGTCAGAACTCGATAGAACACAGCTCTCTCAGTTGAAGAAACAAGAGAGAGCTCCAACAGCCAGCGACTCCCTTTTTGAAAATGAATTTAGCATGGATGAATTAGAGCAAGCCCTGAAGAAATTAAAACCTAGAAAATCTCCAGGCCCAGATAAGATCCACAACGAAATGCTGCTACATCTTGGCCGGTCTGGGAGAGAAGTAGTTCTCAGGCTTATTAATAAAACTTGGAGGTCAAGCAAACTTCCAAGGGCATGGAGGAATGCATATATCGTCCCCATCCTTAAAACCAAAAAGCCTCCAGATGACCCCAAAAGCTACCGCCCGATATCCTTAACATCATGCTTGGGCAAAGTTGCAGAAAGAATGATAAACAGGCGCTTATATTGGTTCCTTGAGAGTTCTGGTGTTCTATGCCATGAACAGGCAGGCTTCAGAACCAACAGCTGCACAGAAGACCAGCTGTTCAGACTGACACAAAGAATACATGATGGCTTCCAGAATAAGAAACACACAGTGGCAGTCTTTGTCGACCTAGCAGCAGGCCTATGACAGAGTATGGAGAAAAGGTCTCCTGATGAAGATGATGAGCATAGGAATACATGGCAGATTGTATAACTGGGTGAAATACTTCCTGATAGATAGAACAATCCAGACTAAGATGCACAACGCAATCTCTTCTAAAGAAGTCTTGGAGGAGGGCTTGCCACAAGGCTCATCATTGAGCTGTACACTATTCCTAATCTTTATCAATGACCTGCCAGAACAAATCAAGGCCGAAAAAGCCTTGTACGCTGATGACCTAGCAATATGGCAGAGTCATGAAAATGTGGAAAGTGGAGCCCAAAGACTGAATGGAGACCTTAGAAGACTGCATGATTACTGCCAAAGATGGAAACTCAAGATTAACTGTGCAAAGACGGTCTACACAATCTTTACCAAAAGCCACCAAGTAGCAAGGAAGAATATTAACCTGAGGTTAGACAAACACCAAGTGATGAAAGAAGAGCATCCCACATACCTTGGAGTCACACTTGACCCGCAGCTCAGCCTCAAGAACCATATTGAAAACATCAGGAATAAGGCATTGAGGCGGTTACAGTTATTAAAGAGACTTGCAGGTACATCATGGGGATCAGACAAGGAAACTCTGAGGGGCTTATACCTAGGATATGTTCGCTCTGTGATAGAGTACAACAACTCACTGCTTACAACTTGTTCCAAAACTAACCTAGAGACTCTTGACAGAGTACAAAATAATGCCCTCCGATTAATCTGCGGAGCTATGCAGTCTACACCAACTGCTGCATGTGAAATCCATACAAATGTGGAACCCCTTGGGTTGCGGAGAGAAAAAGCCACTTTAGAAATTTATGAAAGATGCGTTAGGAAAAATCGTAACCATCCTAATAGACATCTTGTAGAAAACTGGGAATCCAAACAAAGAATAAAGCACAAATCGGTTTTACACTGTGTAAATGAAATTCAGGACAGATACCACCTCCCAGAAAGACGTCAAGGAATTCAGAATGTTGCAAAAACCTACCACCACATGCTCGCTTTAAAGCTCCAGAAGTCCAAACTAAATTGGTAGGCGAGGAAACCAAACAGTCCGACCCAATCGCTCTTATGAACTCATCACTAAAGACCGTTGATTCTTACCCCCAAGAATGGATACATGTCTATACTGATGGATCAGCATTTAAAGCTACCATTAAAGCAGGTTACGGAATCTACATAGGTTATCCCGATGGATCTGTTGAAGAGATTTTTGATGCATGCGGGGAATTCTGTTCAAACTATGAAGCTGAAATAATTGCACTGGAAACAGCAGTATACCACCTAAAGACTGTAATGGATGTTTACCCCTCAAAGGTCCAAAATATTGTCATCTTTACAGATTCAATGTCTGCCCTTCAAGCTCTGGAGGGCAATGAACGCTGCAGAACTGACATAGCCAAGATAATCCTGGATGCCGATCATCTTATTACCTCATACAACATCGGCACACCAGGTAATGACAGAGCTGACAGATTGGCAAAGAAAGGAGCAACACAAGAACAACCACCTACAGCGACAACCCTCCAGACAGCAAAAACACTGATAAGAGCTATAAACAAAGAGACTTGGTTGAACAGATGGGCCATGGGAGACACTGGAAGAGAGGTTTATAGACATATGTCTGGCCCTGATCCTAATGACAGCATTAACCATCTAACAAGAAGGGACCAGGCCACCATCTTCAGACTTAGAACGCAACATACTCCACTCAATGGACACCTAAACAGAATACAGCCACAACACTCCCCAGAGTGCCAGCTATGTAACTACCCTACGAAACTGTTGAACACCATCTCTTTGAGTGCCCAAAACTCAGTGAGACAAGAAGAACGCTACTCCCTCCGAGACCAGACAAGTGGAACACCTTGTACGGAGGAAAAGAACAGCTTGTGAAAACATGCAAATTCCACTACATGGCATTGGGCCAAAGGGCGAAAGCTCATGCGCCGCTGGATCGATAACAACAATATATATACATATATATATATATATATATATATATATATATATATATATATATATATATATATATATATATATATATATATATATATATATATATATATATATATATACCCAAAAGCCTTGGGTTCAAGTCTGCACTGAGACATATTTTTTTTATAACTGATCTTGGGATCTTTTACTGTAGTGTGTCTAAACAAAATTGCTGGTACTGTGTACAGGTGTACACAAAACAAAACACACAAAAAACACAGATATTAGATGTTCCATCCATAAATTAAACTACAGGGTCCCTTTCACAGAACTAGACCCATATTTATATAAACCAGTTGCCACTCTGTGGGTGAGGTTTTTTACATCATGCTGGCTGCCTTAACTTCCTAAGACTTTTCTGGTACCCCT